CTCTTCCCTCTCCTTTATCCGATCCTCTTGTAAAGAGATTTCTGCAAGGCTTTAGAAATTTCTGGCCCCAAGTAGGCCTGTGCCCCCCTGTTGGAGGTTGTTCTTTCCGCCCTTATGAAACCACCATTTGAGCCAATGGCCACTTCTGACATGTTCCATCTATCATGGAAAACAGCATTTTTAGTGCCTATTACTTTTGCTCGTCGCGCTAGCGAGCTTATGGCTCTTGAGTCGATAGTCCTTACGTGAAATTTCATAAGGATAAGGTCATGCTGGGCACAGACATTCCCTTCTTACCTAAGGCAGCATCATAGTTTCATATGTCTCAGGACATTGTCCTTCCAACCTTATTTCCAAATCCTTCTACTCCCCTGGAGCAGTCTTTGCACCTTCTTGATGTGCGGAGGGCTCTTGCTTTTTATGTCCACCGCACAGCTCCATTACGGAACTCACTACGACTTTTTGTTAAGTACCGTAGGGATACTGTGGGCCTTCCTGTTTCTACCCAGAGGTGGCGGCCTGGATAGTTGCAGCTATCCGGCTAGCTTATGAAATGGCAGGACTGGACTTACCTGTTCAGATCCATGCTCATTCCACTAGAGCATTGGCAGCCTCCATGGCTTTTTTGCACAGTGTGCCTCTGGATGATATCTGTCGGGTGGCCATATGGTCAACACCGCATACTTTTGTCTCCCATTATAAATTGGATTTAGCTGCCAAGAAGGAGACGGCTTTTGGGAGAGCAGTACTTTTTTCTGCACCAGCATGACACCCACCATCCGTGGGACTGCTCGCTAGTCTACCACAGGTGTGGATTTCACAGTACCACGCAGAAGAAAGTAAGGTTGCTTACCTGTAACCATGTTTCTTCTAGTGGTAACTGTGAAATTCACACAACCCGCCCATCCTCCCCACATTCTGTCATGCCTTTTATCTCTGACTGTCTTTCGCGGTACGGAACTAAGGCTCCAAGCCCCGCTGCCTGGCTTTATTACTGGTAGTGGATGGGCGGGGCTGGAGTCCCTAATTAGGAAAAGCTTTCAAGAAAGAGCCGAGTCAGCTGCGTGGACGCAGGGAAATACCACAGGTGTGAATTTCACAGTTAACCACTAGAAGAAACATGGTTACAGGGCAGCAACCTTACTTTCTGGGACCACCTGCCAAACCAACCACTGGGTGAAACACCTGACTCCGGGGGCACTTCATATTGATGGTTTACTGTCCCGGCCGGTCATTACTGGAAGGCCATCCCTGGGAACCTCCCACCAGATCATTAAGCCCTATAGGAGAGAAGCAAACCCCCAAGGAAAGCCCTAAGGAAGATATTTTGGGGAACCTCCTAAGCCAGTGGTTCTCAATCTGTGTGTCCCCAGATGTTTTGGCCTTCAACTCTTAGAAATCCTAACACCTGGTAAACTGGCTGGGACCCAAAGGTTGAGAACCACTGCACTAAGCCTACAGAGATAAACCTCAAATTCACCCCAGAGTAGGCTACCTGCAGAAAGGTTCCTTAGATCCTTCCCTTCTGCCAGCTGTTGGGAACACAGGCCTGAACCAACTGGTCTTTCGTGGAAGGATTCAGGTGCTCCCCTCTGGCCATCTAGTTGGGTCCTTCTGTCTGGAGGTGCATGAAAATTGGCTCGTTTGAGATGTTGTAGATACTGTGGATTGCTAAAAAAGCAAATTAAGGAGTCATAAGGTAAACCAAGCCTGAAATCTCAATAGAAGTGAAGATGGCTAAACTGAGGCTGTTGTACTTTGGATTTATTATTTACTTACTTTATTTATTTACTTTATTTCTATACTGCTTTTCTCAGCCCTCAGGCGACTCAAAGCGGTGAACAACATCAGTACAAAATATCACAAAACAAGTATAGGGCAATTAAAAACAATTATCACATAAATCATTAACATCAGTATAACAATCATTAGCGCCTCAACAGTAAAATCAGAATCCAGTCTCGTCATCCATTATTCCGTATTCCTATGTTCAATTACACTGTTTAATCAAATGCTTGTTCGAACAGCCAGGTCTTCACTTTCCTCCGAAACGCCAGCAGGGAGGGGGCCGATCTGATATCTGCAGGCAGGGCGTTCCACAGCCGAGGGGCCACCACTGAGAAGGCCCTGTCTCTCGTCCCCGCCAAGCGTGCCTGTGATGCAGGCGGGACCGAGAGCAGGGCCTCCCCAGATGATCTTAGTGTCCTAGTCGGTTCATAGGAGGAGATGCGTTCGGAGAGGTAAGTAGGGCCAGAACCGTTTAGGGCTTTATAGGCTAAAGCCAGCACTTTGAATTGTGCCCGGTAGCAAACTGGTAGCCAGTGGAGCTGGTGCAACAGAGGAGTAGTATGCTCCCTGAGTGCCGCTCCTGTTAGCAACCTGGCTGCCGAGTGCTGGACCATTTGAAGCTTCCGAGCAGTCTTCAAAGGCAACCCCACGTAGAGAGCGTTGCAGTAGTCTATACGGGATGTAACCAGAGCGTGGACTACCGTGGCCAAGTCAGACTTCCCAAGGTACGGGTGCAGCTGGCGCACAAGTTTTAACTGTGCGAATGCTCCCCTGGTCACCGCTGAAACCTGGGGTTCCAGGCTCAGCGACGAGTCCAAGATCACACCCAAGCTGCGAACCTGCGTCTTCAGGGGGAGTGTAACCCCGTCCAACACAGGCTGTAACCCTATGCCCTGTTCGGCCTTACGACTGACCAGGAGTACCTCTGTCTTGTCTGGATTCAATTTCAATTTGTTAGCCCTCATCCAGACCGTTACAGCAGCCAAGCACTGGTTCAGGACCTGAACAGCCTCTTTAGTAGCAGGTGGAAAGGAGTGACAGAGTGATATATTATGAGATGACATAATCCATTGGAAATTACCATAATACTTGCTAAAGTGAAAAGCAGTAAGAAAAGAGACTGTTCTGCAGGTAGATTGATATCTGTAGTCAAGGAAGCCACAGCTGCTCTGAGTTTGCAGGACCTGAGCAAAGCAGTGGATGACTGGACTTTTGTTATTTAATGGGAAATAACAGTATCAACAACAATTCTTCCTTTTGAAAAGGTGACTCTTTGGCTGCCTATTATATTTACTTTCTGCGGATCCACAATAGTACTGTACTGTACTGAGAAGAATGATATATAGTCATTTAATATCTTAGGTGCTTGCCTCTCCAGTTGTCATCTAAACTTTATAAATATTTTTCATTTTCTGTTAAAAAAACTGGGAATTAAAAGTTGCTAAAAGAAGAATGGCCCATGAATATGATATGCATTGTAGGCAGCAAGGAGAAACAGATCCACTAAAAGCCTACAAACAGGGCTAGACAGCAACTGCCATGTTCTATGATTTCACCACAAACAGAATTCAATTGCACATTCCTTCTGAAACTGAAGGTCCTGTTTAGTCATCACGACTAGTTGTTGTTGATTATATTGTTATCTGTGAATTTATCTAAGCCATCTGAGATCACCAGCATCACTTATGAAAGGGAATTTAATCATTGCTCCCACCTGTAGCATGTCAATGTCATTTTAGTCTATTGTGAATCTACTACCTCTAAGTATTATGATTCAACTTCATTCTAAGTATCATGGTTTGACTTCACCCCGAGTTCTTTCTATACCACCCATAATATGTATACTCTGGATGATAAAATCAAATAGTATATTTGTTACTTTGACTTTTTTCTGATTTGTTTCAATTTCTTTTTGTAGATCCTGTTTGCAATTACTTTCTGGCTACTGCTTCGACAGCATCTTACTGAGCAGAAAGCTTTGCGGTTAAAGGAAGCTGTCTTATCAGAAGTCAAAGTTGAAGAGGAAGGCAGTGAAGAAAAGGGTAAATAAATGATTCAATTTAATTTTGTGCCCTCCTCCAAATTTCTTGTTGGCAAGTTTGCAAAATGTATGTTGGACAGAACCATCATTGAATAGATGTACAAATGAGTGATTGATAGGCTGGTACCTAAAGAGTGCCCATAAATAATTCCTTATTAGCCTAAAGAGAGAAGTTATATTTGTTTGCTTTGCTTTGTTTAATTTATATGCTGCCTTTTGTCCAGCATAGGGTCCATATAGTGCTATTTGTGTAAAACAGATAAAATATCTCCCAAAATTATCAGATTAGGAGACAGAAATAGGATTTAAGATCATATTCACAGATTGAGAACGTGATCCATACTAACAAAATAATTTTCAGTAGAGATCATTATAAAATGCCCCCATTTAGGGAGGAAGAATCAGAGGCACAAACTCATTTTGAAATGTGGATTCCGGGACCTGGATCTTCTGGGAGTTGTGCACAGTCTACGGAAACTGTACATCTGAAATATAACTATTTTGTGTTTATTAATATCCTGATACCATTAACCAGACACCTGCATCACACTCCAAATTATATTTGTAAACAAGATAAGCTGCTGCTTGCAGCTCTTACCTTCAGCCTAATATAGACTACTGCAACCCACTCTATGTGGGGTTGACTTCGAAGGCTGTTCGGAAGCTCCAAATGGTCCAACGGGCGGCGGCCAGGTTGTTAACAGGAGCGGTGCACAGAGAGCATACAACTCCTCTGTTGCACCCGTTCCATTGGCTGCCAATTTGCTTCCAGGCACAATTCAAAGTGCTGGCTTTAGCCTATAAAGCCCTAAACGGTTTCGGTCCAGCTTACCTATCCAAACGTATCTCTCCTTATTAACCATCTAGGATGTGAAGATCTTCTGGGGAGGCCCTGCTCTCGCTCCCGCCTTCCTCACAGATGTGCCTGGTAGGGACGAGAGACAGGGCCTTCTCAGCAGTGGCCCCTCGACTGTGGAACACCCTGCCTAGAGAGATAAGATCGGCCCTCTTCCTCCTGACCTTTCGAAGAAAGGTGAAAATCTGGCTTTTCGAGCAGATCTTCCCAAATACGGCATAGTTATATGATATTATGGAATCACTGATGATGCAACTGAACAATGATTTGATATGGAGATGCTTTGATAATGTTTTTAAGGCTTTGCATTGTTTTTATATTTTTATATTGCTGTTAGTGTTTTAATAGTATTTTATGATTATTTTAATTGTTGTAACTGTTCTGGCATTGAATTGTTGCCTATTGTTAACCGCTCCGAGTTGTCCCTAGACTGAGAGGTGCAGTATACAAATGTAGTAAGTAAGTAAGTAAATAAATAAATAATAGAAATGTAAAAGCAGCCAAATCAATAAAAAGTAAACCAAATTACAGGCACCAAGTGTACGTATGTTTCCTACAATACACACAACACGTTCACAGTTTAAGTTGATTGACAGTGAGATTTAAAAAAACTCCCAAAGTCAATGAATTAAATCATGGATGAAAGCACAGGTGTAAAGGACTTAAGCAATGTGAAGAGAAGACAATTCAGAGAGGTGAGCTAAGTCATAAACTACCATAGAAGGCCAGGTGTGTAGATACAGACTATTGCTGACTTAGAATTACTGTCAAGTTGTTATTTATCTTCTCTTTTCCTTCTTTCTCATAGCAACAGGTTCCCTTAGCTATATATGAAACATCTCTTTTATAGCTCTGTTTCTTTACTACTTTAACTTGTAGTGAAGTGATAATGTTGGATGTCAGCTAAACAATATGGTAATATCATGTGGCAGATAACCTATCCAACATCATTGCACTATGCATATACTACTTCTTGTCTCCTTACCATTGGTATAAGACCTGTAAACTATGGTAGAGAGAGCTCATTTTTTTCATTTACAGAAGAGTCTCAAAAAGAGGATGAGGAATCTCCAAAAGAGGAGGAGGAAGAGGAGGTGGAGGAGGCAGAGGTGGAGGAGGAATCTGAAGAGGAAGAGGAAGATGTAATGAAGGTCTTGGGAAATCTAGTGATGGCTATGTTCGTTAAGTACTGGATATATGTCTGTGGAGGAATGTTCTTCTTTGTCAGCTTTGAAGGGAAAATTGTCATGTATAAAATCATCTATATGATGCTCTTCTTGTTCTGTGTAGTCCTATATCAGGTAAGTAATACAAAATTTGATGCTCAAAACATTGTAAATATACAAGTAACTAAGATACATGTGTAGTTGTGTCTTACAGGAAGCATAGTTTAGGCTACCAGTGCATTTTGTCAGTGTACTTTGGGAATGAAGAAATTGAGTAGATTCCAGAGCCAATTTTCTTCCACGGGGATCTTCCAAGTTCTGCACAGACCAGCAAAATGGGGGTGGTGGTGGGGATCATAAGTACTTTGAAGCTGAGTTATGATTTGGAAAACTGGACTTTAAAAGAATGTTCAACTGGGCGGAAGATGGAGGGGAGTCAGACTGCGACTTATTTAGAAGTAAATAAGTGTTTATGAAGAGACAATTCCCCAGTTTTTGCAGGATAAAGTTTGTTTGGGTATAAGAAACCCCAGAGATACACTTTTTAAAATAGGATTTTTAGAGCTATAAGTATATACATTAATATATGCAGATAATCTTTCCAAAATGCTTTTTTCTTGAAATTGATTACTATAACATTAATGTGCATGGATATCTAAAACACTTAAGATTTTCTGAGTATTGTACAATAAACAGTGGACATTTATCTTTGCAACCCTGGTACTTAAGTCTTTTTGCAGTAGTAAAAACATACAGAGTAACCCTCAGATAATTTCCAAATCATAGGAAGTTAATTTTGAAGAATATGTGTTCCTTAACATCTTGTGTTGAACAGTCTGCCAAGCTGTTCATTGTTATTGTACATTTAACAGATGAAATGCTCTGTTTCCAACTAGTTCCTTGTCCAGAAAAGAAACACCTCTAAGCAAAACATCAGTCTTCATATCACCAGGGGGAGGGGGGAGACACCATATTTTATTGAATGTAAAGTATACTTCTTCCATTTAAGACAGTGGTTCTCAGCCTGTGGGTCCCCAAGTGTTTTGGCCTACAACTCCCAGGAATCCCAACCAGTTTACCAGCAGTTCAGATTTCTGGGAGTTGAAGGCCAAAATATCTGGGGACCCACAGGTTGAGAACCATTGATTTAAGAGGTTTCAAAAGCAGAGTGCACCTTGGGTTTGTCAGTTTGAGGATTTTCTCTTTTTTTAACTGTCTTATCTCTGAGTGATGAGGAAGCTCCCCAGCCCCAAATGGCTCTGTCGCCCCCAACATTTTGTCCCCAACCTCCATCAAACTGCCATTTACCATCTGACTGAGCAAAACACCACTTCCATTTGTTCCCCAGTGGGCCCATAGTCTCAGTAAAATAGACTCATATAGACAAGATGGATTCGTCATACTCCTTCCTTCCTCTACAGAAAAGATTGCACTACAAAGCCACACTGTGCATGGTGAGGAAATTCTAAAAAATAATCTAAGAAAATTATTGCTTAAAAAACAAGGTACGCCTTATATTAAGTGGTGCCTTATAATTTGTGAAATATGCCATATTGAAAAATTTTCAAAGATGGTTAACCAGCTGTTTGAATTTTCCCATAACCTAAATTCAGCCAGTGTTGTACATAATCTTTGTGACTTTGGAACAACTCATACTTCCAAACAATCATTTCAGACAACCTCACAAATTGTGCACTTCAGTAATCCAGCTAATAAAGAATCCAAAGCATGGATGACAGTGGAATGTTCTTGTTAGAAAAGAAGCACTGCGGGACCATGTTGACAAATTATTGATGAGTGACTTCTTTTTGCTTATTGCTGTCATCAATTCACCAAGAACAGTAGCATTCCTTGTTAGGTGACATAGGGTAATAATCATAGGTAGAATATACACTGACTATGTAATGCGGCTTTAAACTGCTACGGCCAGACAACAAACTCCCACAAAAGAGCATGAAAGAAAGCCCTTTATGTGCATCAGTGGTTTGTGTAATGACCATCTGGACCTCAAACTGGTTCCAGAGTTTCCTATGTAATCGTCTGCATATGCAATACCAGTTTGAAATTGCATTTAATTGTTAGTGCTGATGGGGCCATAGTGTTCCCATATCACACGGCCTTGTATTTCTGGTAACTTATATAGATTCAGCTTCAGTATTGTTTGAACTTAATAAGTCTTTAACCATATTGGTTGAAACCATCTGTGGTGACCGATTTTTTAAAATGTTGTTTAATATTTTATTTAATATCCTTCATTACTCCTAATATGGGATCTACCTTTTTCTCAATTCCAGAAAATAATGGGAGGGGGAAGTGCCCTTAGTAGTTACAGTTTTGTGTTTAACAATTTTATGTACTGCTGGGAAAGCAATAATTGAAAACACTTCAGGGCAACTTGACAAATATATGCATCAGACCTATTGTGAAGACTTCTGAAATAATGTGTGCAATGAACTTAATAAAACTATATCTACAGAAAACCAAATGGTTGAAAATATATTGTTTGATTGTCAGGTGCACTATGAATGGTGGCGTCAAATTCTGAAATATTTTTGGATGTCAGTGGTGGTCTACACTATGCTAGTGCTTGTTCTCATATACACATATCAGTTTAAATCATTCCCGGGACTGTGGAGAAATGCTACAGGGATGAATGATGAACAGTGAGTATTTTCTGTTACTTCAGACTAATGCCTTCATGTAGTAAGCTTGGCAAACTTTGCATATGTAGCTCCACAGAGAGAAACTACAAAGAACGATGACAAGTTGCTTACCAGTTTGCTCTCAGAAATAAGGATAGAACTTTTCCAAAGTTCTAGAAGCTCCTAAACTGTTATTCTGTGAAGACTTCATAGATATTAATTGTATGTAAATAACCTAGTTTATAATCTTTAATTCTCTGATTATGAATTGTTTTTTCTGGTGTCCTCTGGGCAGGGCATTTACACAGAAAAGCAGATGATTGCCCCCATTTCCATGAGTATCTAAGAAACTATGATTCCCAAAACTGTATCGTTCCTTAAAGTTAACCTGTTCATTTCACAACAAGAGTGGATCAATACATACTATTAAGAGTATGTACTGCCAAATGTGAATCATTGTCAAATGCATTTTGAGCAGTTAAATTAGCTGTTTCACCATTGTTTTCTCTTTCAGGCTAAAGGATCTTGGCTTAGAACAGTTTTCCATAGGAGAGTTGTTTACCCGCATCTTTATTCCAACCTCCTTCTTACTTGTGTGCATATTGCACCTCCATTATTTCCATGACCGTTTTCTCCAGCTCACCGATTTAAAAGCCATTATCAGTAAACAGGACAGTGCAATTTACAGGTAAAGACAGCAGCAAAAATCCTTATTTTTTATTGTGGCTATCTTGGCTAAAGGCACTTTGAATGTCCACGTCTCTCTATCTTTTACAATCATGCTTCACTGGAGTATGAACAAAAACTTGAATTTTTAAATCTAGGATGACTCTCAGAGGATTGTATGAGAGTTCACTTAGATATCTTTCATTGTTCAAAACTTTCTTATTGTTAGTATTAAAATATTTTTTTCTAGATCCTAATGTTTCATTTTACTATAAGACAATAATTATACAAACATTATTTTAAAATGTCCCAGTATAGCAACAGAGTTCATTTAAATATATACTTGTATGTGTGTGTGTGTGTGTGTATAGAGGGAGGGAGAAAGCGCTAATAATACAGGGCAGAGATAGGATTTTAATTGAAATTAATGCTCTGGTATTGAAGTTCCCCATTCACTACAGTACCAATAAAAGTAATGGAAAATGTCTGATTTTTTTTAAAAAAAGAAATAACAAAAAAAACTCCCAACAAGTTTTCTAATGACGTATTTAGTGTTATAGTTACAGTACACCCTCCCACCATATATATAGGAAATGCATTTCTGAACTTATGATAGGAAACCATGCATAATATATAGCATGAACTCTTATCAAAATTATCAACTTCCATTAGAGTCGTCATGGAGGACCTACAACATTTCTAGAAATGTATCTAGGATGATAGTTTGGTAACTTCAGGTGGAAGCATTTTGTAGATGTGCCTAGAGAACCTACAAAATTCTGAGAGAAAACATATTTTGTCAGATGCAGGTGGATGAAACTGTGGGTACCAGGCTCATAAGTGTTTGGGTTATACTGTATTTTGGACCTACATTTTCTAGTCCAATGGATAAACTAGGAACAAACATGGGTAAAGTATTTGTAAGTGACATTTTCAGCATAGAAAGTGCACATGAAAGAAAGGTTGCAGGTGATACCAGTAGTGAATCTAGGATTCAGATTCATCACCAGAAGGAAAGGGAAACCTGGACACCTTCTTTTAATAATAGAGGAAGCCTCTAGGTATTAACTTGCCAGAATAACTGGTATGACCCACTCCATTTTCACCAATCCTGTTACCATCGAACACGAATGCACTATTTACTTTGGTGTCTAGAGTGCCAAAGAGGTCAGTTTTCTTTCCTGTAGCCTCCTCCTCAGCTTGCTAACACCGGGACATTGTTGGTAGGCATCTAATAGTTTGAAGTGTATTGCTGCGAGTGCCTTGGCTTTTTTGTTTTATCTCTCACTAATGTGTACTTCAAGACCCTTTTATGCAGAAATCGTTCTGTGACTCACTGAAATCATTCACAGACAGTTGCTACATTATTTTATGCTTTAGAAAAGGAGTGAAAAATTGCACTTGGATCTTTGACCAAAAAGAAACTAAAAAGTTGAATGGAAACATTTCCCCATTAGTATTGAACATATTTGTTTGTACTTCATACATTCTCTGTAATAGCTAACAAATTGACATTTGTGATGGAAAATCTAGAGAAATAATATACAATATACAATTTGATAAAATTAATGTTAAACGTCTTATATTTTTTATCCATGATTGATTCATATACACACACATAATCAAAGATGAATCACATGTGTATTTTGGCATATGATACACTATATGGTTGGGTAGCCATATAGAGTATCTGTACAGTTAATCCAACTACTTTTTCTATATGTTAACAGTTTATTTATTGGACTAAAAAGTTTTAAAGTAGGGAAATCCATTTGTATCAATGAGTGCAAAAAGAAAAATCCAATAATATATCATATTCAAATGTACTAAGTAAATATAAAGGTATCGTCTTTTCTATCTGAAACTCTTTTCATACTAATAATTTTATGATGCTTACAATATTATATATGGATAGAGCGTATTTTAATTTTTTGCCTCCCAAAATGAGCTGAATAGATTTTTATCAACAGCTTTAAATTATGATAAAAAAACAAATGAACTTTTATTGGATTTCAACAGCAGTCTCTTAATAGTTATCAAATGTTCCAATATTTTTCTCCTATTGAAAAAATGGTTTTATGCTCTACAAAGGTTATTTCTGTTATGCACAAATACAGAGCAGTGCATTAGATCTTCACAGTGCTGTCAAGAGAGTTTCATTTGTCTCATCCAAATTGATAACAACACTTAAACAAAAGTTGGAGGGTAAGATGTGATTACCACATAAACTCTTCAAATAGGGACATTGTTGTGCACTATTTAAATAGGGATGAAGGAGGAATTTGTGGAACAATTTTGTAAAACCATCATGCAAATTAACCCATACAATCTCAGCAACCAAAAATTAATTTGAATCAAGAATCCATAATTATACCAAATGCAGACTAAAATAAATATATATTGAAACAATTATTGCAAATGAGCCATGAAAGGCCCATAGGACGCTAAAGAAGGGCATTTCCAAGATGTGGTACTACCACGCTGGGTAAGAATCTCATTTAATGTCTCAATTCATATAACTATATCACTGCATTGATGATGACATTTGTATGCGGTTCCTCTCCTTACTACTTCAATCTTTTCCCCCCCTAAAACTAACCCATTAAATTTTAAGAATGGCTGCCTCAGAGTGATGTCTGAAAGGAATGGCTTTGATAATTATCAAATCTGTTCTGTGACTCTTATATTCTGCAAGAAGCAGAATATTCCAGAACACTCATACTCTGAGCTGTAGATTTTTGTAAAATTCAAGCCTTTCAGATAGGTTGAACAATGTTTAGGTGGTATATTAAAATCTACAGATTTGGACAAAATGTCTGTTTGATGTTACCTTGCTCCTCCAGAATATCTAAACAGAAGTCTTGAATAATTTGAGTATATTACATCTTTATCAAGTAAGAAATAGGAATTACGTTTTACATGTTGTTGGGCAGTAAATCCAACTAATTCTGATACCAGTAATGTCATAGTTTGCTCTTGCACTTACCTTGTAGTTACGTTAGGCCCAAAGATTTGTAAACAATTCTTGCTTAGCAATCTAACAATGCAGTGGTAACCTATCTGCTTACTAGTGCTTCTTATTGCATGCCTTGCAAAGAGCATTTAATGACCTTGTTTCATTGTGTGTGTTTCTTCTGGAAAGATAACTATATACTTGATTAACACTACTCTTCTCTCTCTCTCTCTCTCTCCTAATTTTTCTCCTGCTATCTCATGCATTCTTGCACTTTCATCTCTCTCTCACAAAAGCCATGCCAAAGTCAATGGCCGTGTTTATCTAATAATCAATAGGTGGGTATTTTAATGCTCTTTTCCTTTTCTGTCAACAGTATACCTTTTGCTGCTTGCTATATTTTCAGTCTGTGAAATCCATTATTTCTGTCATGGTCCCAACATGTATGTTAGATGTCTGTATCTATGTTGGGGGGGGGGGTGGATTTTAATATTCACAATGGATGCTACAACTTCATACAGAACTGAAAAGGACACCATAATCACATTTGATGTGATACAATCTGATGTGAAAATGTAATTAGTATAATATATTATCTATAAAAGGTCTACCATATTTATGTTAACCACTGACTCCACATCTGTAATGGGCTGTAAGGATCTGCTACTATGATATTTAAAAAGTGGAACTTTTACACATTTTCCACACAATCTCCAAACGCACCTTCTGTCTACTATAAGTGACATGTGCAAAACATCCATATCATAATATGTGTGCATCCCTGTACATACAGAAATATCCTTTTCCTCTTTTTTAATAAGCATTTTACCCAAGGTCAAGTGGTTTAGTAAACATACAACAACCCTTAATAGAAAACCAAGGACTTCACACAGCAAGATACAGTGTTGTAGAAGTGACTTCTGCAGTTTCTAGATTTCTCCAATCTAAATTTCACAATCATGTGAAGAACATTTCAGAGTCTTCTATAGCACTTCTCCAGAATTATTAAGGCACTTTTTACTAAAGCTATCCACATAATTTAACTGAATGATCAAGCAAGAGTGACTTGACTTGTAACAATCTGGATCAGACTTGGGATCCATTTACACTGCAGAATTATGGAAAGATCCTGTGGATTTGCAGTGTAGGGAGGGACATTTAGAATTTGTATCCAAAGCACTATAGTTCCTCACTAAATTACAAACCCCAGAATTCCATAGGATTGAACTATGACAATTGAAGTAGAACTATGGCACTACAACTGTACCATTGTGACAAATTAAACTGAATGGGACCCTGGATAAATTGTACTTGACCTGTTTGGTTCCAAAGTGGTTCAGCCTTCTCAGAAGTGATACATAACTATTAAGAGACCTTTGGATAATTAATGATTAAATTTAAGATTAAAACTAAAGCATAGACTGAAAGCAAAATAAGTCAGATAGGCTCTTGATAACACAGGCAAGGTCTGAGTAAGAGGCTACTTGTATCAGTAAGGAGGTGGCTGCTGAGTGAATATTTATATCAAGTATCAAGGTGAGAAACTTCTGGACTTACATACATTGTTGGACTGTAATCTTCAACTTCCTTAACCAAAATTATGAATGCTGTTAGATGGTAAGAACAGCAATCCAACAAAATCTGGAGACCACAACTTTCCCATCTCTATCTTACATAGCCTTTCACGCTCACTGTTCTCCCCATATTCAGGTTTCTTATTGGAATTCAAGTGAAATAAACTAGTTCAGTATATGCCCCTTGTATTGAAAAGAATTGACACACTAGGTGTTCTGGGGAGGGAGGGGAAGATTGTGATTCTTTTATGGGATATTCCTCAGAAACGTTGGTGCCTAGGGATCATGGCTCAAGGTTTAAGGTTTAGGCAGTTCTGGATTAAAATTATTCCTTGTTGCTGGACTCTTAAATAAAAGTCCAGCAAAAGTTACTGAATTCTTGCTGTTTCAAAAGTTAAAGCTAGGAATATCAGAAAATACATTCAGTGAATTAGTACAATCCAGCTACAAGTGATTGCACCAGACTATGAAGGAAATAATATCCATTAATAATATAAAAATATATTCATGCATTATTTAATCCCTGACTCCTTATTGTGCATTGCCTAGTTGTTTGCTTGATTCTACATGTGCTACTACACAGTCATATTATTCTATGATGGTAGAATTAAAAAAAACATGGCTGTGTTATTCTGGATCTGTATGCTGAAAGAGGCTTTGAGACTAACAAAGAGAAAGCATTAGTTTTCCTAGACTTAACACTACTTTGTTAAGTCTATGAAAGTGTCAGTGATGGTTTAGAAAGTAAATCATCCATAAATCTTACCTCTCTCAGTTCCCCCCTTCGCGACCCAGGAAACACAATCTGTTCTCTGAACATGCGGCAACTTTGCTCAAGTTGTACTTAATGCTACACAACTCTGTTTCCTGGATCTCCAGGCAATCATGCTCCCAGCAAACTTGATCACTAAGCCTGTGAGTGATTTCTTGCCCTTTTCAGTGGCAAAGGAGCTGTCATCAAAACACTCCATCTTTTCCTCACTTCCACCTAACACTGGTAACAAAGATCTGCATAGTAAAAGCAATGGTATTCCTCATAGTCATCTACGGATGTGAGAACTGGACCATAGGGAAGGCTGAGGGAAGGAAGATAGATGCTTTTGAACTGTGGTGCTGGAGGAAAGTTCTGAGAGTGCCTTGGACAGCAAGAAGATCCAACCAGTCCATACTTCAAGAAATAAAGCCCGACTGCTCATTGGAGGGAAGAATAGTAGAGGCCAAGATGAAATACTTTGGCCACATCATGAGAAGAAAGGAAAGCTCAGAGAAGACAATTATGTTGGGGAAAATGGAAGGAAAAAGGAAGAGGGGCCGACCAAGGGCAAGATGGAGGGATGGTATCCTTGAAGTGACTGGATTGACATTGAAGGAGCTGGGGGTGTGACGGTTGACAGGGAGCTCTAGCGTGGACTGGTCCATGAAGTCACGAAGAGTCAGAAACGACGGAACAATAACAAACCTAATGTTAAATACAAATCACTGGTTCCTTTAAAATGTCTGATTACTCTCCTCAGTGCAATCCAATGGTTCTGGGTTTTGCTATGCTTCTGCTTGGTAAGCCAACAGAAAAGCTGATTTCGGGCCTCGTGTAATTTGCTATGTACATCAAGTTGCTAATCCTTGAATGATAAATATCTGGCCTATCAAACATCTGTTTAGATTCCAAGTTCAAAAAAATCAACTTTCATGGGTGTTAAAACTGTTTTGGCATCAGTCAAACCACACTTCTCCACTATCTGTTCTATCTTTTTTTCTGGTTTAAATACACCACTACATATTCTGATCTTTTGACTTCTAAGTCTATGTAGTCTTTCAAACATCCCAAGTCTTTTACTCTGAACTTGGCTTCCAATTTTTTTGTACCTTTGCAATCTGATCTGATTGTTTTGAAATTAAACACAAATCATCAACATAAATGAGAAACACAATCCACCCATTCCCAGTACCTTTTGTATATACCCAAGTGTCAGCAATATTTCTCTTGAATTCCAGCCTGCACACTTTTTCTTCATGCACACACAGGTTCCAGCATCTGGCTAACTGCTTCAAACCATAAAAAGCCCTTTTCAGCTTATAAACTTTGTTTCTAAACCATCACTAACAGAAAGCTTATGCTATCAACTTTTCTCTCTCAATTATTCACTACAGTTCTACAAGATCCCTTTGCTTATTTATTATTCTAGATGTTGTTATGATCTTTAAACATCTTTAAAATGTTAGAGCACTCCAACAGTTCCCTAAGGCTGGATCTATACTGCCCTATATCTCAGGGTCTGATTCCAGATTGCTTTGAGCTGGATTATATGAATCTCTGCTGCCATATAATCTGGGATAGTCAGATAATCTGGGATCAGATCCTGAGATATGGGGCAGTGTAGAAGGGGCCTGACTCATGCAATATAGTATTGGGTGCACAACGATGCAACACATCTAATCACATATTTTATGGTAGAAGAATTTATAGCAGAGGTGAATCTGCAGCTTTCATGTTCCAGCATAAACTTTATTTTAGCAATAGAAAGAAATCATGAAACAGTGTGATCTCATGGCAGTTTTATTTGTCATTATTGTAAACAGAATGAAAAGTAAAATGCTTTTCTGAGTGTCATGAAACCCTTAAACTGGACAAGTGAGCCTTTTTCTTGCAGGAGAAAGTAATTTGATAACATAATGAAGTTCTAATTGCCAGCATTGGCCTCTAAAATACATTTATTATACTTCCATTTTATACATAAAAATAAACAGCTTGTATCCTAGCTTCAACTCATTGTAATGCATTTTGCTATGGAATTTTTGAAACCGTAGCTGAGATAATGTGGACAGTTCTTACAAGGTCAGATAATACCTTTTTTAAAAGTATTAACAGAATTTTTGCTTGTATGAGCTTCTTAATTAGCAACTGAAAAACTACATATTAATCTAGCATGTTGATTTTTGCATTATAAAAAATGACAAAATATGCAGAGTACAAATTAAGTAAGTTCTTTCAGAGACTTTTCACTTACATAAATTAGGAATGATAAACTAAAATTTCCTTTACAACTGTAGCATAATCACTTTCTATCTTAATTACCCGTATTAATGTAAGGATGGCATGCTCCTTTCATCTAAAGGTTGCCATTGATGGATTGAGAGAATGCTAGTGCATTATATAGCATGATATCTTATTTCTATTATCCTTTTATAACCCCTCTGTTCTCATTTCCCTTTTTTCTTTCTGTTTCAAATACTTTGAGCAGCATCAAGAAAAAATTACCAATCCGCCAAAATGAGTAAGTCCCCAAATGAAGTCATGAAATACTTGCTGCTACAACATGTCATTTCATGCTTCGGCATCTTAAACTCTGACTGCTTTTCCCCTCTTAGGGGAAGTGTCAAGTTTAGGTGGCAATATCACTGATTACTAGTAACACAAGTAACTAGCAACACAGTGACAATTGCTACTGCAGTGTGATCCCGTGTAGAGTTTTACTTTTGTAAACAATGTTTTATCCATTTAATCATGCAATTCCTGTTTGTTTTACTATACATAGCAAAGAAGAGAGCTTGTTTGCAATATTGGAAGTGCATAATTTGTTGACATGCCAATTTTGTCTATCAACAGACTGGTGCATCAAGATGGAAGCTTGCCTGATATCACAATGATGACTTTACATGCCAGTATTGAAAAGGAAGAAGAAAAGATATTGCAAGATCAGGAAAAGCTGTCACAAGAACAGGAAAACAGTGTAATGATTAGGGAAGATAGCGAACATGAGAAAGAGGAAAATGAAAATGAAAAAGAAGAGGAAGAAGGAGATGAAGAAGAATATGATGAAGATGAATCAGAGACAGAAGAAACATCTGGTAACCTCTGAGGAGATTCTAACCTTTGTCTGTCTAGTTTATTTGTTGATGTTGGTGGCTATCTTAGATTAGAAGAGATCTATCTTGAATACTTTATGTACCTCCCTATCGTTTCTTGGAATGTTTTCCAGTACAGTCCATCTTCAGGTTTGTTCTTAAGTTGAGTTTGTATGTAGTTTGGAACAGGTACATTTTCAGTGTAATTCCAGTCCAAAAAAAAAACACATAAGGATGACATGTTTGGCTAACATAGGGGTTAACACCGCTGTAACATTTGTTGTGCTGTCTGTGCCCCTGTTCAGAAGATTTCACCTCATTTTCTGTTCCTATGACAATTGGATTGTGAAAATTTTGGGGGTATTGTGAAAATAAGAATTGGTTCAATGGAAATACTTTTTCCCCATGATAACTCTTACATGAGTGACTTTCCCTTCCTAGGGATAGATTTGCTCTCACTTCCTGCTGTCTCATCCTTATTTGTAATGAAGAGTCATATGTCAGTAATATGTAACTTGATGGCTGCCTGTATAATCTAGCTTGAGTAAATAGATGTTTATTAATTATTCATGTAGCAACAGGTCTTAAGATAAAAAAAACTTTTCGTGTTTTTATTGTGATTTAACACTTACTACCAGTGGCAAAAAGTTAACACAAGCAAGGTAAATTACTCTAATTGCACAAGAGACCAGTTATAGAGCCAATTCTCAAATTACGTATTGTTTCGATTTTACATTATAGCATATAATGTGTGTACAGTCAACCCTCTACATTTGTAGGGCTTGGGGTGGAAGACTTGCATAATTGTGGGAAATCTGAAAATAATTCAAAGACCCTCTTGGCAGTGGTGAAGGGCCAGCGACAAAAAACGAGGCACTGATCGTGGTCTTTGGGGGACTCACTCTACCTTCCTGGCTCTTTCTCTGCCTACTTTCACTCCCTGCTTCTTCCTTCCACAACCAAGACACATATACATGTGCCAGATACAGCAGGAGAGAAGCAGTCTAGGAGTGTGCCTGGAGCATAATGTGGGTAGGTTATGATGCTGAGAAAAGAGTCTCTTCCCTTCCCTTTTTACTAGCTGTCACCTCTGCTTTAATCTGGGGACCTTGTTCACCATCCCTATTTCTCTTCTGCAAGCGGTGTGCAACATGAAAGCACAGGGTGCAGCAGAGAGGAGTTGGGGAAAGCAATGGGCAGGAAGGCAACAATGAGCACCTGCAATTGTACAAATCTTCTGGAGATTGAAGAGTAGCAGTTGGCATGGTGGTAAAAGTTGTGATATTAGCAAGTCCCAGGCTCCTTCTTGGTGATAGAGCATACTTTCCCTTTGTACATTAAGAGGATTCTAAGTAGCCTTTTTTTATTTTAAAAAATCCACATTTCGTTAACTTTTGTGTACTTTACTTTTAATTTGGATTGTTCTCAGGTGCCGATATTGAATATATGTCTTATTTTGGGACATATGTGTTTTTTTTTAAGTAAGCTATTTCATTAGGCTTGCAGCTCTGAAAAGGTTATAAATCAATTAGATAAGAAATATGTCTCTCATTAGTATTTTTTCTCATGCTATTTCCTTACTTTTTACTCATTGAGCTTACATTTATTATACTTCGATTTCCTTGCACATTCTCAAAGCATTTTACTAGATAATCGTAAAAACTGTTATTTATTAAAAACTGGAACTTCTAATGAGCGATTTGTGTCTGTTAAGTATTTATAGTCAAATGAAACATAGAGATGGAAGAGCTAATATTACTTTGAATTTTGCTCAATGTCTAATTTTCTTTATCAAACACACTTGATTTAATATAATTGATGATAAATGTATTTAAAAAGAGAAATCTATAAATGGCTTTAATCTGAATTACATTTCCTCTGTATAGCTTTTCAAATTTTAACAGCTTAGATGATTTTAAAATCTCTATTTTAGAAAGAAATATTTTCTATATATAAAATCTATTCCTTTAGCTATGTCTCTTAACTGAAGATATAAGGAATGGTTCATAATTGTGTTTAACTTTTTTCAGATTTAAGGAACAAATGGCATTTAGTAATTGACCGCCTCACTGTACTTTTCTTGAAATTCCTGGAATGCTTTCATAAGTTGCAAGTCTTTGTGTGGTGGATTTTGGAATTACACATTATCAAAATTGTTTCATCATATATTATCTGGGTCACAGTTAAAGAGGTAAATGGATAATAGTCATTCAAGTGGTTTTCTTTTTCTTTTCCTGTCAATGTTATGACAGAATGCTGACAATTTATATATTTCACATCAGATACATCTAATAATTTCTATGATCAATTTTAGTTTGAATCCTTCAGGCATTATTTTAAAAACTCAAATACAGTGAAAGGATATCCTTTGAAAATGTCAAACTAAAAACTTGTTGCACATATAATTAAATCATGTACTATCGCTTAAAGAATATAAATCGTTCAGCATATTATCTCTTTTCCATTGGCTACAGGTTTCTTTACTTAACTATGCATTTTTAATAGCCTGGGCTTTTGCTTTGCCATATTCTCAGTTCCGCCCATTGGCTTCTAGTGTCTGCACGGTTTGGACCTGTGTGATTATCATCTGCAAAATGTTGTACCAACTTGAATCTATTAATACTGCAAACTTTTCTGTCAACTGCACAATGGTAAGTAGTAGTTAGCTAGAAGGTTTGTTTTAAAAAGCAAATTCAAGTAGTTTTGAAGACATTTTCAAATAGGTAGATGTCATAAGTTATGGATAGAAATGATTGAAAAGTCAGGAAATGGCTCATCAGATAGAAGAGCTGGTAGATCTCAGCTCTTCTGTTCAATCAGCCATTTCCTGGCATGCTTTTTTCACAACTCTGTTGAGATACTAGCTATTCCCTCCTTCCCTCTGTTTTATAATAAAGTCAAAACCTGAAGGATGACAATGTTTTTTCTTCTTCTTTTCCTTCCATTGTTGCTTTTGACTAAATTAAATCCTGCCTGCAAATCCAACTTCCTTCCTGTTCTTAAACATTCTTCCATCACATCATTGTCTTTGAAACTATTTTTTTCCAAATCTCTACTGAATACTTTTCCGTTTGGTAACATCTGTTGTTAAATTTTTGCTTGTTTTTGGCCTGATGACACCTAAGAGTGCTGAAAAAAGCAATAACTGTACCCAGGTCTTTTCAGGTGATTGATTTGTTGGGGACATTGTTTGGTGCTTTTCATAACCAACTGAAAATGTTTACTCCGTATTGTTAGTGGAAAGTGCCTTGAAAAGCTCTGTGAATGAAAAGTTCTTTATATGTTTTGTTATGTGTACAGTCTAGCTCTTAACAAAGAAGTCAAAATTAAAATTCTGTTTTTGTTTCATTTTAGCCTAATACAACTGTAAAGCAAGAGATCCTCAGTGAATCACTTCTCTACCGAAAGCCCATTGATCCAACTGAGTGGGTTGGGTTAAAAAAATCTTATCCTTTGCTTGTATACTTGAGGGTAATTATTATTATGTTGTCTTTTCTGATCAAAATGTTCTATTCTTGCCTTTTACTAATGAATACTTACAATGGAATTTGAGCATTGTTGGGCACATAGAATTTGGCTGACATTGTCCCCAAAAGATTAGTAATGTGTGTGTGTGGGGGGGGGCATAAACATTATGAAGAATGAAGGGGGGCTGTGGCATACCAGGACAGGTGGTAGAACTGAATTTTCCCCCTCTCTCTCCTCCTTCTAATAGACTACCCTGTCCTTTGGACAATGTTGCTTACTCTGCTGTTTATGTTCTTGGTCAACAGTAAATTCACAATATTTCCCTATAGTGAATCACTTTGAATAATGATGCATCTTAGTGTCATTCCACAGACATTTTTCTAAGAGATAGCAGCTCCCACAGGAGGTTGTGTGTAATGACTGCCAAAATACATTTGTAAGCTTATAAGCAGGAACGGTCTGGTTTCACTGATCTTTCATAAGCGATTCTGAGAGCCTTGGTCTGCTAGAGTGCTATAAACACAATTCAAAGAAAATAAAAATAAATAAAACCAATGCTGATATCACTCGTCCTAGTCAGCCTACACCTGGCCATAAATATGTAGAGTTTCCCTTATCCCTGAAAGGAATCCCCCAAATTCTACTCCACATTTATGTCCCAAAATTAAGCTGTACATTTGTGGGCACCTTTTTGGGACTTGGCAGTAATAAGAACCTAAAGGATACAATTAAAAAATTGTTTTGTTTTCTATCAAATGTAGATCCCCTTTTCTTCTTTCCATGGTTGTTCCCTTTCAATTGCTAAATGAGATTATTATTATTATTATTACAAAGAGTGTGTATCTTAGGAGAAAACAAGCTGAGTGCTTTCTTGCCCTGATGTATTTGCACTTCATTGAAAAGTCATTACCTGTCACTTCCTACTTTTTAAAGTCTCTGTGGCTCTAAAATAGCTTAGGTGAACAAAGATATGGTGAAAATATCCCCACATATCTTAGAGGGCAACTTTTTAATATCAAATTTTGACCAAAAATGGTATAAAACTGGCCCTTGGGCCACATATAGCCCATGGACTACACTTTGCCAATCCCTGATTAAGACCCCTTCCACACAGCTTACTAAAATCCCACATTATCTGCTTTGAACTGGATTATATGGCAGAATATATACACAGCCCTATATCCCCAAATATCAAGGCAGAAAATCCCACAATATCTGCTTTGAACTGGGTTATCTGAGTCCACACTGAGATAATGTGGGATTTCCTGCCTTGATATTCTGGGATATAAAGCTGTGTAGAAGAGCCCTTTGATAATGTAGAATTTTCTGTCTTGATATTCTGGGATATAGGGCTGTGTGGAAGGGCCCTGAGAGTAACAAACATGTTTTTACAAGACAACTGGGAGCCCTTTTAAATTAAGAGTGATAGGTTAAAATGAGTTTAGGGGATTTTTTTCACTTAAAAGCCCTGAGCATAAAGTATCTTTGTTCAGCAAAGACAAAATAAATGGAACCTCTAGTCTGAAGTCATGGTCCCTATGATTAAACACAGGATTTGATTTCAAAGAGCACAAGAAAATGTCATAGCACAATAGATTAAGTGTGAACGTTCCCCCCCCCCCCCCAAATGCTTGTTTTCAATAAAATGTCAGTCGTTTCCATGTAGTTCTTCTTCTCTTGTAGAATAACTTGCTGATGCTGGCAATTCTGGCCTTTGAAGTTACTATTTATAGGCATCAGGAGTACTACAGATGTCGAAACAATCTCACTGCACCTGATACCAAAACCATTTTTCATGATATTACCAGATTACATTTGGACGATGGAGTAATTAGCTGTCTTAAGTACTTCATAAACTACTTCTTCTACAAGTTTGGTTTGGAGGTAAATTCAGAGCCAACATGATTGAAACTTTGTTTGTGTTTTTAAATACATTACAACCGTATCCTCGGTTCGCTTCTGATACGATAAATAAACAAAAAAAATGATTGAAACTGTAATTTTCATGGTGTCTCCATATTGCCTGTGCTTTTTTGTTGTTGTTATATATTTATATTAGGATTTACAGTTTGTCCTCCCTATCCACAGATTCTGTATGAATTAATTCGACTGTAGCTTGAAAATTTCCAAAAGAAATCGAAAAAGCAAACCTTGATTTTGCCCTTTTGTTTAAGTGACAACAATTTACTTTGGATTTGTATATAATAGAACTTGAACTTCCATGGATCTATGAAAGGTCTTGGAACCATTGTTTTAAAGAATTTGTCTTCTTTTAATGTATGCAATAGCCTTCTAAACTATCTGTTAATGTTTACATTTTTTTAAAAAAATGATAATATTTTATAATACATCATTCAGAGATCTTCAGATACAAAGTAAGATAGAAATATTTAAATAAATAGAGAAGACTTGAAATCAAATGAGCCTGAATGAATTTAAAATCTTGAGAAAATAAAAGGTTCCTTGCCTAGTGCCAAATCCTGGAAAGTAAATGTCATATGAGAATCCTGGGGAGAGTCTCACAATTGGAATATCACAACAGAGCAGGCTCTTTTCCTTGTAATCACTTTCTGTACTTCAGATGGTGGGAAAACAAGAAAATAGAATAGGATAATGATCTTACAGTATAGAAAGATACACATGGAGAAAAGTGGTACCCTGGTCCCAAGCCAAAAAGGGGCTTTGAGAGGTCAAAATCATCCATTTGGATTGAACCCAAGAATGAGTAGGAGCCATTTGATTGAGCAGCAGATGACAAAGCACCAGTGTGATATGATCAAAATGTCTGGTCCAAGTTAGCAATTTCCTGCCATTAAGATGCTTCTCTAGACATTGGTCAGTAAACTGTTTTGTTTTGCTCTTAGACTGCAGTGTTTGCAATAATATCAGCAGCATTGGCAATTCTACCTAATTTTTTTTCTTTAGCATTTTAATTAATTTATTTTAAAACTCTCATTCTGTTACATTTTAACTCTTAACAACTCTGGTGTGGTTTAATAGCATGCTATCTTGTTAGTTGGTGTTTTCTGGATCATCTTTTTAAAAATAGTTAACATTCAGTACGGAAGCTTTCTAGATGCATACAGAGCTGTTTCTATCATATATGATAGTGGGAGAAGCACTAAGGTCAAAAAACGTGTCGATAGCTGTATTGGAAGTACTGCCCCCTCCTCATTACCAGTCATTCATTACATTTGCAAATGTTGTGTCAATAGCCTTATTCTTCTTTTTATAAATAGGTTTGTAACTATCTTTGTGACTAAAGGGGTAATCAAGACCAAGAAATTATACATTGCTGGAGTAAAATAGCTCAGTGTCTATCCAGTAAAACTTACAAATATTTGTCATATTATTGGATGTTTACCCTGCCAAATCTTCCAGTTTGCCTGCAGTAGGAATCCATGGGGTAGCAGGAAATGGAAATCTACATGGATATAAGCCACAGAGTGGTTTCTCCCTGTGCTAGGGCAGGTGCTCTTTCTAAAAATCATCCCTATTACAACACCTTGAGGCACAATAAGAAAGGTGTGCTTACAGGCCTTGTTCACCTCAAAACAATATTTGACCCAATACCCAAACTCCCATAAGAAATCTGCTTCCCATTAAAGCTTCTACAGCTGCAAGTAATACAAGAGATAACTGTCTAAGTCAAACAAATATCTTATCCCGGCTCTAACAAATAAATCCCATCAAGGTTTGCTTTTTAGATTTTTTTTTCTTTTTTGGGGAGGGAGGAGTATTTTCAAGCCATATATGACAGTCTGTAGATAAAGAATCCCTGGATACAGGGAGCCATATGGTTGTTGCAAACAAATGATTTCCACTTGCCAGTCCCCTAATGAGGGCTGGAGGCAGTCCAATCTCTGCTGCTGAGCTGTGTACCTCTGTTAAGAGAAGGGCCCAAACTTGGAGTTCCAGTTCATCCAGTCTAGTCTGCAACAGACTAGTACAGATCAGTTGACAGTAATGAAAAGAGGCATTGTTGGACCAGTTAGTTGTAAAAGGGGAAAGGCCCACACTTCTAGAAATCCAGAAGCATTTGTTTACCCTCTGTCACTTCTGACTCTTTATCAACTGGCAGTAGCACTGTGTTTCAGAGGGGCATCATATATCTGATACCTAAAACTCAGATGTATTGATCCCAGCAAAACGCATCAAGTAATTCACTAGATCAGCAGAATTTAGGAATCTTACAGAAAACATGGGGAAAATAACGGGTCTCCTGTCATTGTACTAAAAGTGTAAATCTTGGATTCTTTTAGTTTTGCAAAAAAAATACATCTTTAAAGTATTTTCACTCTTGAGAATTTTTGTATTTTCACTTTGACATATTCAGTAATACACGTGAAGGGGTCATTACTAATGTGTAGTTGTAATTGGTCGTCTGCAATTTGTAGGTTTCATTTTTGTGGATTTTGTTATTTGGGGATTTGATTAATATGGTATCCATAGGGATAGCTAGGTCGTCCAGTGTGATACTATAATCAAGTTCCACAGAAGCTGACATACAAGCACCTTAAAGGACCTAGAGATTTCTAGAGAAGTGTTCCCTGTGGTTCAAAAAAGTTTTTTTAACTGTGTTTTTTCCACTTTGGGGAAGGAGGGGGGTCTGTGCTCCTAACCCTTGCAAAGTAAAGGGCCTACCATATATGTCGAACTAATCATTGTCAGTATAAATATGTATATAATGCATGCAATATTGATTGATAGAAAATCTTTGAACTGTTACATGCTGATAAAATAGATGTTACATTTTAAATCAGGGAATTTCTGAGAAGGAGGCTAAATAATATATACAGATAGATTATCCAGTAGGATTTACATTCTGTGTGTTTCTCTTGTGATTCACAGAGCTGTTTCCTGTTATCAGTAAATGTAATTGGTCAGAGAATGGATTTTTATGCCATGATTCATGCCTTTGCCTTAATTGTTGTACTGTATCGACGGAGAAGAAAAGCCATTGCAGAAGTCTGGCCAAAGTATTGCTGTTTTCTAGCATGTATCATTACATTCCAGTACTTTATGTGCATTGGCATTCCACCCGCTCCTTGTAAAGGTAAGGGCATTTCCGCTCTCCACCCAAAATGACTACCTTTTTCTTTAACAGTAGTTTACTTCCCTTATATCTAGTACACTCTTTGGGACTGCAGTTCCCATAATGCCATGCTGACCAGGACTAAAAAAAAAATGGAGAACACCAGTTTGAAGCGGTGATTAGTGAAAAAAATTTAAAAGTGCAGAAAAGAAATACTGTGAATGATCTGTTAAAATTGTCCTTGCTTTTCCTTTCACAGATTATCCATGGAGAAACCCTAACACTAATTTTAACTCTAATATCATCAAATGGTTGTACTTTCCAGATTTCATTCAACGTCCAAATCCCGTCTTTCTTGTATGTAAGTATTTTAGTAACTCTGACCTCTTTCCTTTATAATCCCTTTCAGAACACTTCAAAAAGGGGTTCCAAAAACACATTGTCAAATGCAGAAAAGTTGTTATTATTAAAGTGAATCTATCATGGGATTTTCTAGGCAAGTTGCATTTACCATTAGCTTACTCTGAGTCTGAGAGAGTTTGACTTGCCCAGGGTCACTAGCTGCATTCAAGGCCAAGCAGGTAGTCGACTGATTTTGGTAACAGCCTTGGGATAGATAATGCAAACTATTTTAAATGCTGCCAAAAGGTATCAAAATTTTAAAAGGTTTGCATTATCTATCTTTAAGCTGGAACATGGACGTGCAGCCCGAAAAACCCACAGAAGCCCATTTATTCCGGCCATGAAAGCCTCCAACAACACATTATCTTCAAACTGCTAACAAAACTGGGAAGACTGGCTGGGGAGGTTTTGGTATGGGATTTCTAGCCATATTTTATTAAGCATTGATGTGGATCTCTTGTTTCTTATTTTATTGTTACATGTGTTACCTCACGTTTTATTAGAGCCATGATAACTGCCACTTCTTGGCCAATTATCAAGTATAAGTTTGGTTCACAGAAAAGGAAAGCCTGCAGCACTCTGTGTAAACCCCAGTCAAGCATCTCATGTCACAGTGTGTCTGGAAAGACAGCTGGTTGAACACTGTCCAATCTATACAGCCCTTTATATTTTTGCTTCATCCATGTTTTCCAGTTGTTAAAGAGATGAGAGAAGAAAGGAGACTATTGAGAAAATGAGTGGGGTGAGGGAAGCAGAGTAAAGAGGTTAATGGAAAAAGAGGAAAAATGGGATCTGCTGACTCCCATGTGAGTGAGAGTAAGGAATCTGGTTCAGATTTTACGAGGTATGCCAGAAAAGTAATGAGACTGGAAACGTTGTACACTGCTACCTCCCCCTTTACATGGCAGTTAGGTTAACCCCTCCTGAATTTCAGTGCAAGTTTGAACTTGCTGTAGTTGCTACATAGTTGTTGAAAGCGTCTAATATGAAGTTATGTTTGTGAGGTGCGTTACGAAATGGACAGCAGAAAAGAGATGGTTTCAAAAAACTTCATGGCTGAACAGAAGGCCAATTGGAAAGATGTGTGCCATCTTCTGAGCCATCTTGAGAGGGAGCCAGAATCTTTCAGTTGCATGATCACAGGTGATGAATCATGGCTTCTTGGCAGGGGGTTGGACTGGATGGCCCATGAGGTCTCTTCCAACTCAGTGATTCTATGATTCTGTAGATTTACGGGTAGACCTGGAGACTGGAAGTGGCACAGTTCAACTTGATTTGGACACAGAATAAAATTTACGATTAAAAGAAAATCAGACATTATTTTTCTGCCATACCTCATAATAATATTTTTATTGATTAGCCCTTAGGCCATATCAGAACACCTCATAGTCTTAACTTTGAATAACACCTTTAAAGTTAAAAAAAACCCCTGGAGCAAATTCACTAATTCACTGACATGGAAACCACTAAGCACAACTAGAGAGAACCATACAGGGGAGAAAGCAAAAGAGAGAGATTTGTGTTTTTCTTCCATCTGTTCTATGTTTGTTTACAAGTCCTAACTGATTATCCCATCTGTCATAATTAACATAAAGCCATTAGAATAAAATTTAGAAGAACATATAACATTGATATTAATTTGAATGATAGATACTGAGAAATGGGCAATAAAATGTTGCATGACTGGAAGAGGAAAGACCCCTTTATAAACATGGGGGGTTAGTTGTAATGATGCAGCGAGATTCATCAGGCTCTCTGCAAGTATTAATTTCTGTGAAGTTTTGTTTCAAAATGAATATGAGTGTCTGAAAGCTGTTTCAAAATAAAAATGAGCTTTAAACCATACACCTGTCATGAAATCTCTGCAGACATAGAGTAACATCCTGGCTGAAGATAGTTGTTTCCATTCTTTCTCTGCATACCTGTGATCCTTCTGGCCCACAAAGCCTCTCATTCAGACCCACAAGCATCCACCCCCAATTTTCCTTAACCTAATATGGATTCACTGGTTGTAGCAGCAACTGAGAGCCCTCTCATTCTGCTGCTACATAATAACATGCTATGACTGAAAGGCCAGTGATCATTGGGACTTGTAGTCTTCTCAAGAGCTGTATGTGACTAGATAAGAAAGAGGGAGGGAAAACAGGCTAGGTTCTCCTTCTTATTTTCCACTTTTGATGCTGCTAGGTAATTTTCCTTACCTCTGAAGAGTAAGGGAAAGTTAAAAAGAAGAAAAGGAAATCAGCGGAGTTGCCATTCGTGTGAAGCCTAAATTCAAATAGTCACAACAGACCAAACACAAACTTATATTGCTTTAAATCACTTCTGTACTATTTAATTCTGCTTTTTCTCTGTGTGTGCTCTGCTATTTAATCAATTGTTTATTTTCCTTATTTTTATTCATTAGCTTTGAAATTGTATTCTAATTATGTATTCTTTCATATGCACTGACTTGATTTACACCTTACAAAAGTACCTGCAGTAAAAGAGGTACAACATAGACTATCATCAACAAAGTACAGGATTATATATGTCTATAGTAACCAAATGTACAAACCTTACATCAATATTTCTTCTCCTTGTCAGATGACTTCATGTTGTTACTATGTGCATCCTTGCAAAGGCAAACCTTTGAAGATGAGAACAAGGCTGCTGTGCGTATTATGGCTGGGGACAATGTAGAAATCTGCATGAACCTTGATGCAGCATCATTTAGCCAACACAATCCTGTCCCTGACTTTATCCATTGCCGGTAAGGCCTAAATCACACCAAGTTAATTATCAGTGTAGATGAAAAAAGATAAGAATTTGGTTTGTGCCTTCACAGATAATCCATCTGTATAATGCTAAACAAGTAAGGTAGTATCTCCTCCATGGATTAGTTGGTGCTGAAGCTCTAAATTTATGGACAGAATTATACACTCTTTGACTTGATGCTGTGTTACAAATTGGAACTAATATGGATCACAGAACGGACAGAATATTGGCTCTTGMGCTTTTCTGCCTAGAGATGGCTGTCCAAAGAAAGAGTGTGTTAAACAAAGAAGCAAACAAGAAGTCATTAGACAYTGAAGCAAACCAGCATTCCCCCTTGTGGGATTTATCTGTTTTGCTTATCACCTCAAGAGTTATGTAACTCCTATAGAACATTTTATACATGTGTCACGATGCCAGGGCTCTGTCGTTATTCTGGCAGAGGTGAATCAAACAAACATCCAGTTTATGTTAAACAATTTAATTAAAACAGCACTTACTTTCTGGCTGTTTTAATAGTCCAAAACATTAAATATAAAGATTGCACTCAGCCACAGAATATAAAACAAAACTGACAGCAAACAAAGTTGCAGGTTCAAAATAACACCATAGTCAAAAGGTCCATGGGGTCACGAAGAGTCGGAGACGACTGAACGAATGAACAACAACAAAAGGTCCAGTCCAATGGTCAAACGCCTAGAGTTCAGTGGGCAAAGTCCAGGGATCAAGAGTCTATACCATAGTCAAAAACCAGTCCAGAGATTCAAGGTTCCAYGAGTACAGGAGACAGGTCAGGATACCAAAAATCCACAAACCTGGGGGGAAACCAGCAGCATACTTTTCTCCCGAAGATCAGTCCCAAGGCTAGCTCATTATATCCAGAAACACCTAGCTGCAACCCATCTTTTGCATACCTCCACCCTTAATTGCTTTCACCCATGAACTCTTACTTATAGATTACTCAACGCTTTAGAACTAAGACTTACATTAACCCTTCCATCACCAATTGCTAGGCCTACCACCATCAACCACCATCAACTGCAGAACATGATACATGACATGTTTACTTTGGTGGGCCCAGCTATTGAAAATTTAAAACCTCTTTTCCAAATTAATATTTTTCCCTAAGTCTTTGGCCCATGAAATATCACTGTTTATATTCATTTGTCTTATAAGTTGTATTTGTATAATCTGGAAATTAGTCATTTATTCCCCTTCTCCAAAATGTTCTCCAATTCTGATTTTCTTTGGGGAAATCCTTGTTATCTTTCATATTTCTTTTTGATATATTTGGTCTACTCTGCTTGGAATTATCAATAGAACTGACAATTGAAATGAACAAACATATGTTTGACACCTTTATTCTCATTTTCTCTCACAACAGGTCTTACCTAGATATGGGCAAAGTGATAATGTTCAGCTATCTCTTCTGGTTTGTGCTCACCATCATTTTTATAACAGGAACCACTCGGATCAGTATATTTTGTATGGGCTACTTGATAGCTTGTTTCTATTTTCTGCTGTTTGGAGGAGATCTATTACTAAAACCTATCAGGAGCATTCTTCGTTATTGGGACTGGCTAATAGCTTATAACGTCTTTGTGATTACAATGAAAAATGTATTGTCAGTAAGTGTCTTGTTTTTTATTCTTGGTTTCATATTTAGATGCAAGAGCCTGTATTTCTAATCTGTTGTGCTTACAGAGAAAAACCATAAGAAAATTATGGAAAATATTTGTCATCTGGTATTTTATTTTTATTTTTTACTTTCTTGTTTTCAACATTATGTTTTTGAATTAATTTATTAAATTTATTGAATATACAAGGCATTGTTAACATCATCTTTTTAAATTCACACTCCCCAAAATAAAAAAGTAAAAAAATTAAAGCCTGGAGAAATCAATTTCAGATTTTGTTGTTGACTTTTGACCCACCCCTCCTCTCAAGTCTGTAGTTTTGTGTAGTGTACTGCTTTTACCACAGATATTTCTGTTGGGACTGGCACCAGTAAGGAAAATACAGTTTCCTTCCAAAATGCTATAACAGTATCTCGAATAGTATATGCTAGGCAAGGGAAAGAAAGAGCTATTCCATCTGTAAGTGAATGGTTGGCCAGACTGTTTAGTTTTGCAGTATTTGATCAATTGTCTTGTCTTCTTAAAAATAAATCGGTAGAATGTTTTCAAAATAATTGGAAGCTCCTTGCAGAGTACATAGCTAGAATGTCTAAAGAATGGCCTGTAATGGTGCTTACCGATTAAAGATCATCAACAAAGATTATACAATACAATATATAATTTTATAGGTAAAATATTATATATTTATATACACACACAATTTGTTAAGACCTTTATCAGACAATGTGTTTGATTTATCCTAGGGCAACGTCAGGAAGTTTTCTTTCAAATACGTTGTACACAGTTTATTATTATTGGAAAATGTAGAATTACTACTGTTAATTGGTGGTTTAATATATCACCGGTTATGTTTTAGTTTATATGTTTCTGAAATAAAATTTTAAAAACCTGTGGTACAAGAGGAAAGTGGGGGACAGGAAGGTGTTACATCTTTTGAACGCTTCTCCTATTCTCCAAAGCCCCCAAATAGCACCATCTGATCAAAATTGACAGGACCTTTGAATCGGGGCACTCTTTCTAGGGACAGTGGATATTCACTGCAACATTCCTTAGCAGTTCTCATGTCCCCAGATATTTACAGTGTATAGGATCTTGTTATCTGGAGTTTTACAGAATTAAAAATGTGGTATTATTATAGTTTTATATCAGAAATATGTTATGATAGGTAGTCTTATTAAAGCCTTTATTTATTTATTTATTTATTTACTTACTTACTACATTTATATACCGCCCCTCTCAGCCCACAGGCTGATTATAATATTATAATTATAATAATTTGCATTGTTTCATACATTTCTCAAAAAAGACCAACACTGATGAGAATTGCCATTGTAACCTTCCCCTCCCTCCTTTTCTTTCACCTTTAGATTGAGCAATAGCAACTAGTAATGTTAATTCCACCTGATAAGTAATTTTTGTCTCCCTGATATTGGATATATCAATCTGTTTCTTTCAGATAGGAGCATGTGGCTACATTAGTTCATTGATTAACAGTTGTTGGGTGATTCAGCTATTTAGCCTGTCCTGTACAGTTAAGGGTTACGAAATTCGTAAGTATAATTAATTCCTTTGCCCTTTTTTTGTTACACATTGAAGGTTTTAAAAATGTACCCCTCTTTTTTTAAAAAAAAGCCAGTTGGTTTTCTTGGTGTTCTGATATTAAGAAATACATTTGAATAAAACATGGATATAATTGCACTTTAATAAATAAACATATTCTGATTGAATTTTAAATCTGAAGATAATAATAGACTGCATATAGAATTCAGTTTAAACACCATTACTTCAAGATAATGGTGTTAGCTTACAATAAAAATGACTCAACAATAATATTGTTAAGATTAGAATTTTTAGTAACAAGTATGCTTGTGCACAGATCCATTTTTTTAAAAAAAAGTCTTCAACTGGTTCAGTTGGTTTGGACGTCCGTAACAGCATGGGCTCTGCCACCATTTTTTTCGGCCACAACAGAACAGTGGCTGTCAAAAACCCGGCTGCTTTCGGTTTCTTTCAGCTACAGGGAGGAACACAGCTGCTGGAAGGCAAAGGTTCCCCAGAAGGGATGATTTATTAAGCCCTTGTCTTAAACCCAGGTCTCTTCTAAATATAGAAGGGAAAGGATTGCAGGAAACATATTTTCTTAAGCCCTTGCCTTAAACCTGGGTGTCCTCTAAAGAGAGAAGGGAAAGGATCACAGGAAGAGGGGTTTCTTAAGCCCTTTTCTTAAACTTAGGTCTCCTCTAAATACAGAAGGGAAAAGATCAGGTCTCCTCTAAAGAGAGAAGGGAAAGGATCACAGGAAGATAGGCTTCTTCCACCCTTACCTTAAATCTGGGTCTCCTCTAAATATAGATGTTAAAGGATCACAGGAAGGGGAGATTTTTTAAACTTTTTAAATCTTAAACTTGAGCCAGATTGAAAACTAATCTTTGGCTTCCCAGATTGAAAACGGATTTCTCTCCTCCCAAATTCAGCTCCCAAAAAACAGATCGGGGACTCTACCGAAATCCAAAACACCAAAATGGATCAAAGTTTACCCAGATTGCAAAAGCCTAGTAACAAGCATGTTTCCAGAAGTGCACTTGAAGCTTTATCTATGCCCACATGTAAAAGTGGTGTGTGCTAATATCTGTTTTTGATAGTTCCTCCCACCATTCAGGCTCTCTCCAGAACTCATTTGAGTTGTTCTCAATGTTATATAAGGAACACCCTTTTCCTAAGCCATTGTATACAATGGGACATGAACATCTATGGATTTTGGTATTCACAGAGAATGTTGGAACCAAACCGCAACAGAGACTAAGGGCCCTCTGATTTTTGTAAAACCTTTCTAGAAGGGCTCGTCTCACAGCTGATGTAACTGACCATTGGCTTCATAATCGTCATAAGAGTTCTGGCAGTTGATCTTCTAGAGATCCGAAAAGTATTACCCACAGCCCACTGAGTGGGTAAAGCAGGAAATAAAATCAGTGCTTCTGTCCATAGTAGTTTGCTGGCCAATTTGGTGAAGAATTTAATAGGAAAGCATAATTACTCAGGAGTCTGTATGTGCTATTTCATATTTGCAAGAGGTGAATCTCTTCTTCCATTATTCCTTCCTTCTTGGAAACTAGAAAGAGAAGGAACTTAGGGGCTTATGAATGTAAGAATAAGACTCCTAAAGGGATTTGGCCTGAATACAATTGTTAGTCTCAATAAAAGTATACCCACTAAATCAATAGTAAATCAAGATATATGTAAATACTATTGTTTCATTGAGTCTGTTTTAGCTAAGATAATTAAGCTGTGATTGTTGTATTTTAGTCATTATCATGAGAAGTAATGATTTGTTTCAAAAGCCAACAATATGTGATAAGGTTGAAGGCAGTAGGAAAAGGGGTTTAACTCATTCAAGACAGATGGACTCAAACAAGGAAACCTCATCTCTGAGTCTGCAAGACCTGAGCAGAGCTGTTAATAACAGGCCAACTTGGACATTTCTCATTCTTAGGATTGCCATAACTACAACACAACTTGAATTTAGGTCATTGATTTACTTTTCCTTAATTTTTTTACTCTTCCTTCCATTTCAAGAAATGTTACAATGTGTGAGTACAATAATAATTACTTAAAGATTTCTACTTTTATCAGCTTCGAACAAAGATGGAGAATGTAAAATACCAAGTGGGGAGGCAGGGATCATCTGGGACAGCATTTGCTTTGCTTTCTTGTTGCTGCAAAGGAGAGTCTTCATGAGTTATTACTTCCTCCATGTGGTTGCAGACATTAAAGCTTCACAGATTCTGGCATCCAGGTAACTTATCCCAGTGTTTTATTTACACCATTGTATAGGTTTTCTTCCTTTGAGTAAGTCTACCCCAACTGACTAACTAGATTAATATCCACAGCAAATAAAACACAAAATAGCTGTGTGATTGAGAAGTAAAAACAGAAACAAGTTTAATTTCAGTGCAAGAACAAAAAAATCAAATATTTTCTCCTTGGTGCATGAAACTTTGAGGATGTTTTAAAATACTTTTAATGATTTTTCATAGTGTGGGGCTTTGTGAGAATTTGGTTTTGTGCAAAAGAAATTTTTCAAAACATCCTGAAATATGAACAATCTTGACTGTTTCTTTAATGGGATGACTGAGTGTGTTAGGACACCATTTTTCATCACGAACAAGAAAAAAATGTATGCAAACTACTGCAAAATCTCCTTTAAAAACTCTCAAGGGAACTTGGACTATGAAATTTGTTCACTTACATATACACACAAACATCGGCTTCATTTTTTCCATCATTTTTGTGGTTTCACAAAAAAAAGGGGAAAAAAGAAAGAGGTGCTATGCCCTGTGTTTGTAGCCTTCCAGCTGGCACCTTTCAGACTATCCCTTCAAAAATGGTTGAGCTTACAAGTCACAAAAATATGCCAACCCATTATTATTATTATTATTATTAATATTTGTATACCCCGCCATCGTCTCCCCAAGGGGACTTGGGGTGGCTTACATGGGGACAAGCCCAAAATCATAGGTAAAAACAATAGCATTAAAACAATCAAATAAAAACACAACACAATCACATCAGCAACATTAAAACAATATCATGATGTGAAGAAGTTTGGCTTTTGACTCTCACTCATGGTGTCTTCTATATCAATACATTCATCGGGTGTCTTCATATTTTGGTAGCCTTCATAATCTATCTTTTGTTTGCAAGGTATGTTATTCTTTATATATATATCTGTTGTTTTACAGAGGTGCTGAACTTTTCCAAGCCACAATTGTGAAGGCTGTAAAAGCAAGAATTGAGGAAGAGAAAAAATCAATGGATCAGTTGAAGAGACAGTATGCATTTCTTTGTTTACTTTGCACATTTCCCTGCCATATTAGTTTACCTACTATTTTTTTAAGGGATTACCTAGTTACTTTTTTAAGGAGGAAATATAGCACCACTACATTGGACTTACAGAAAGCATCTTAACTGTCCACACACTCCATAGAACTGCCTGGTTTAGGTATAGTTTTCCCAGCTAGCTTAAACCATAGACTGCAGGTTGGTTTAACATCCTGATGAGTGATTGTCGTCACGTTCCACAATATTTTCACCGTTCACCAATCTGGGAAGTAAAGAAGGATTGGTGGGTTGAGGAGGTATGGAGAATAACAGTACGTTAATTTAATGGATGTTCCTGGCTGCTAAACTAGCTTTGCAAGCAGAAATGTTGCATTTCTGAAACAGCACAATTTAGAGAGACACCCGGGCATAAAAAATCACATTATGTACCAAAATCTATTGATTATATATATATATATATATATCTTTAAATCTTTTGTGATAATATAAAATAATTGAGGTGAGCAGATTGCTTAGTTCATACATTAATAATATTGTGGAATAATATTGTCCATGTACACTTTGAAGCCTCAGAGAAGAAGGTGTGTCTCCAGTGCCGAATTTACCATTATGCTTTGGTGCTAAGCACAGGTCCCTGTTGCCCAGCGGGGAGGCATCTTCCTGCCAATTTTTTTTTTGCGATGGATTTTGTGTATAAGGTGCGATTCTAAATTTGTAGGTGTTCTGTTTTGGAGCAATTCCAGACACAATGATAGAGTTGATAATCTATGGGAGTGTGCCACAAATTAGGCCGTCATGATAATAACTCAATGACGTAGAAACCAAATTATTAAGGTGAACCTCTAGGTTTTCAGGTTTTCAAACTTTCATCACTTAGGACCTGTTCTTCCTCCTTCCGAACCCAAGTAAGGGGCACATAACTTAACGGCACAAGGCCTCATTTGTCCTACAACTGGCACTATGTATGTCTAACTATGTAAATCCTTTCTTTTTGCAGAATGGATCGTATCAAAGCCAGGCAACAGAAGTATAAAAAGGGTAAAGAAAGGGTGCTGAGCATGAATCAAGAAGCCTCAGAAGGTCAAGCAATTCAAAAGGAAGATGATGATGATGACGATGGTACTATTCCTTCAATATATCCGGCGTTGGTATTTATTGTTTGGACCTTGGTACTGTTAATATTAATGCATGTGGATTAGTAGTAACACTCTGGACATTAGTTGGAGATATTTCACAACTTTATCTTTTACATTATACACGGACATAAATTTAGATGTGAATTACTCATATAGGTTGCCAATAAATATCTGGAGATTTCTTAATATTCCCATTTACTGCATTAAAGCAGAGCCTAAATATTAAAACTACTTGTGTACAGGTGTGTACACTGAAGTAACAAAAGAACTATCCAGAGATTTGAATTAGAATGCAAATTTATGCTCTAGAATTTGTATGATATTGCATTTCACAGACAACAGCTTTCTGCCTTGACATATGAAAAATGCATTCAACAGAGAACTGTTTTGAGGCAAATTGTTTGCATGAGTCTCAATTGGCTGTACCTGTTACATTATATTAACAAATGTCGGTAGGGTGTTTATAAACAATTTCACACTTCTGTTTGTATTAAATGGACTGTAATTTTCAAATTTATAGTTTATATTAAAACAACACATTCACCAGTATTGATGAAATTATGTTCCAACAATAATGGGTTAAGTCATAGAGTACACCTTTAGAAAAGAGTTGAGCTTTTTAGGCCTCATCTACACAGCCATATAAAGTCCAAATTATCTAAATTGAACTGGATTATTTTAGTCTACATTGCCATATAGTTTATAGCAGATAATCTGGATTTTATCTGGCAGTGCAGATAGGGCCTAAGTCATGAATCCCATTAATTTCAGTTGGTCTACTCTAGTTGAGGCTAACATTAGATTAAAAGAAATGTTGTATACAATACTTAACGTTTCTTTCCACCCTAATTGAAAGCATAACAAATGATATTGAAGCATTGGTCTCAAAAGAGTTCTCTGGTTTGCCACTGTAACAGGACTTGTTGTTGTGATCCTTCAAATATTGTTGGACTGCATCTGCCATCAAACCTACTCAGTATAACCAGTAATGAGGAATGCTAGGAGTTATTGCAAAAACATCAGAAAATTGCATGATTTTCCACCCTGATGTATAAAAATTAATATTTCCAAAAATACGTTTAAACTTAAATTTTTATTTTAAGTGAATTTTGGGTTTGTTTGGGTTTTTGTTTGGTTTTTTATTTGTGTTTTTGTTTTGTTGTATTGTTTTTGTTTAGTAGGGCTGAATTTGTTCTTGCACAGTTTTGAGCCTGGAAGAGCAAAATATAAGCAGTGACATGTTTCTCATTTTGTAAAATTAATTTTTGGACATATTTCATTTTAGGAGAAGCAGACAAAGAAAAAGCCAAGGGCAAAAAAAAGCAGTGGTGGCGGCCTTGGGTTGATCATGCTTCTAGTAGGTTTCTACGTCATCTTTAAGATACATGAATTTAATCCTTATATCCTTGACCAGAAAGGGGGCATCCCCATGACCTGTTTCTTTTTATGCATAGCCCTGTATTTGTGACTTGATAGTTATATGGATGCAAATTCAGTAAGATTATGTGGAAATAAGACAGAACCAACCATTTGCAAGAATTACCTCTATAGTAATCTCCAGTGTTGCTAGATACACATTCATCACATGAGGAAAAATAAACTAAGCAAATCTCCAAAAATGATCTAAAGCGTAAATGCCTTCTCAACATAAACACTACCATGGCCTTATATTTGCTATTTTTCTATAAACATGAAAAAGCTTTCAGAATCAATGGTTTGATTTCTTCCAGTTTAATCTGCCTGGTTGTTATTATTGCATAAGAGAGTAAAGGAGGCATGGTAATGGTAGAGAAGATTAATAATTCATTATTAAAATATCAGCATTCATAATCAAAATACATAATTTTTAGTCCTTGGGCCCATTTTTAATATGACTTTTTATATGCATCTATTTGCATATTTCTTTGTCATTTATAGGACAGTTACCTATGTAACCGTTCCACCCAACATTTTGAATTCCTGTTTCTATCAAGTCACAAGGAAACTATACTGGTGTGTATGTGTGTGTGTAGTGTGTGTGTACTTCTGTTTCCAGAGGGGCATGATAACAGCTCATTCCTTTTTCAAACATTTGCTGAAGATCAACTGTTTTAGCTTAAAAAATAAATACATTATGAACCGCTGGCTGTTAACAGTAGACCTGAATAGTTTTATCAGTTTGAGGCTGCAGAAAAATTGTTGAAATTAAGGTGATGAAAATGATTCAGAAGTTGTCATGATCCCAGGTTATTCTTGACAGTGGATTTTAGATCAGGCAAATGATTTTTGGATGTGGTACAATTCCACTGTTTTCTGATAAAGTCCACTGTGTTAGACAGGCCTGTGTCCATACAACATTTGTTAAATTGATCCCATTCAATTTAGCATTGCTGATTCATTTCACCCTCATTATATGTTTCAGGGAGCCAATGTATTGTACATATTATTATGAAAAGTAATCGATCACCAAGCCCTGAAATAGTTGTTACCTATCAACTCTATACACCTTTTTCAAATACTTGCTTACAAGTTCAGAGCAGTTGCTTGCATATTTGAATGCTTCAAACTGATTGTTTTTAGCTATATGTTTAAAAATATTTAACATAGTGTCCACAGTGTCCTTGCTTCTTGCATCTCATCAGAAAGTGCATATTATTTGCACTATGACTTTTCTTTTCTTTTTTAATTTAGCATGTTCAGTACACTAAAAACAAAAAATAAAAGCGTACAGGATACACAAAGAAAATAAAAATAGAAGGAAGAACTGAAAAAAGAAAAGAGAGAAAAAAAGAATCCAAATAGGCAGAAACATAAGGCATATCTACACTAGCCACTAAATCCAGGGTCAATTTGGAGCATAAATAATCTGGAGTGGCCCCAGAAGTGACCAGACACACTGACCAAGCCCAGTGTGGCACTGTGTTGGTGTCTACATTGTCCAGTCAGACTGAGACCTCATTGGCCCCACTGGACAATCACCTGACCCTCCATGTCAACACCACTACTTCCAGCCAGCCATAGAGGTCCATACAAGCTCATAACTGTTGTGGATGGCGTGTTTTTATTTCATCAGAAGTGTTCACCTGACCAACAAAGATAGGTATGAGCACAGTCGATCCTCTTTTCCAGTGTTGATGATGTCAGATCTGGATAGCAGATCAGTCCAAATCAGATCAAATCACATTGTGACTGTGCAAGAGCTGTGGGGAACTCCAGAATTTCCAGCAAATTCCAATATCCAAAGTAAAGCAGAGTTGGTTTACCCCTGTATACCCCATGATACTCACTAGAAGTCAGCAAACACATGGGAGCAAAGATTTAAACTCCAAATTTGTAGTTTTTTCACATGTCCAACACATATGATAAAATGTCCCTTCATGCTGTTCACACTTTCAACATGCATTTGATATATTTATAAATTTGGCCAATGTATCTTGAGTGAAAGAGAATCGATGCATCGTCTTATAAAAATTTTCCTTTAGGTCGTAATATATTTGGTTTTGTGCCTATTCCATTTTCTTAACACGTCTGACAAAATAATCATTAAAATCTACATTTACTTTAGCTTTGTCAAACCATAAACATCCATACCACTCAAAACTCAGGTCATACTCTGATGATGATGATGATGATGATGATGATGATGATGATGATGATTGTATTTTGCCCTATTTTCCCAAGGGTACTCAGGGAGGATTCCAACAGATAAAAAGGCAAATATTAAATGCCTTGAAAAACAAGAAATACAAATGCAATAAACAAACAAACCAAATCCCACATTAGACCAACATCTTCTACTCTTCTGATTCCAGTAATCTCGTTTTAGCCAACACTATCTAGTCTTTTAACCAAACCTAACAACATGAAGTAAAATGCGATTTCAAATGCCTTAGTTCTGCATCTGCAGAATGTTATATTTAACTTGTTTCTTCCCTTACCATAAACATTTAAATAACTTTTCTTCTATTGCTTAAATGTTGCCTCATCAGTCATAAGTAGTATTGTCTGGAACAAAAATAACATCCCAGTAAAAGCATTCATCTTTATCACTGAAATTCTCCACAACAGTGGCAAATTATTATTTTTATCTTATGTAGATATGGTTTATATAACAAGTAAAATCCTTCATTTATATTTTTTCATCTTTTGTCTGCTTGACATACAAACATTTTCATTTTCATTTGAAATTGTATCAACATGATGATAATGATTACGGCGATGATGATGATGAGATGTATTTGTTTCATTTCTCACAAAATTGAAGCTCATGGTGGGTTTCTATTTAAAAGAGCAATACAATTAAAACATACAAGAAGTGGATATTAAAATAACTATGAACTATTCATAGTATTAAAATAATTTAAACCCCAAGTTAAAAAAAATAAATGCAAGATAAAAAGCTACTGAAACAGTTTTATGTAAAACAATACAGCACTCAACATTCTTTCAAACCTTTCCGTTCTCAAAACCTGTTAGAATCTAAAGGCTTTCACTTGCCAATTTACTAAATTTTATTGGCAGTGGTAAGTAGATCAGCACAAGAGGGATATATAGCCTTAGCGGAGCGGTATCCCTACTATAGAAATGGAGTGAGTTTTCTTCTTAAGCAAGCTATGAAAATGACTTCAGATCAGGATAGAGATTTTCAAAATAAGAGGGTATCAAGGTATAATTGAATAATAATGCAAGCTATTTGATGGTCGAAAAAGCTGTATAATGAGGGCCAAATGTGCTTTTGGGTGTCATTCTATCTATGGCTTTGTGAGTTTATTATAAATATATTAAAGTGTTTTTTCTTTACCTTCAGATATTATGTTAACAATCTTAAAGGGCAAATGTGATGATGTGACATTTGCCCTTTAAGATTATTTGTCTCTTGCTCTTGAGATGGGATTAATTTTTGTCCCTTCTCTATTTTGTGCCATCTCCGTTACTTTTTTGGACTATCGCTCCCACAATACCCAACCAGCAAGGTCACCGTCATGTTGCAAGTTTTAGTCCAAAAACATAACTTTCCCCCATTTCTGCTCTTGCTTATTATTGTTCTTTTCACCCTCTTTTATTTTTCCTTGTTTATCAAGTAAGGTCTATTAACAATGTGCTTCTGTTCAAGGATATAAGGCCCAGTTCATTCACATCCCATCTTGAACATATGGAGGCCTCTGGATATTTTAGCCATGATCATATATACTATTAAGACACATATATATTGAGCAACAAATTGTTTCCATTGTCTAAGTTGGTAAGCTTGAAAAATATAGTAGTTTTTGAAAAGTAAAATGTTTCCAGTTGCATGTATACTTCCAGGAGAATTACGTTTTAGTTTTTCTTTTTCTTCCAGTGTAAAAATGTTCAATTTCTGCAAACTCATTGAAGTTGGAGATACTTCAGTCTGTGAAAAATAATTAATATTTTTTTTAAAAAAGGGATTAAGAATATTGAAAGTTTTTAATACTAGCATTCGATCTTTTTATTTTATCACCTTGTGTTCTTCAGCTAGATCTACATTTCTTCTTCATTGTGTCTACAAACATCACAATAAAATGATTTATCTGTCACTGATTCTATTCACCTCCTGCTTTTTCTCTTTCCTGTCACGTGTTTGAGTCCCATGGTCAAATAAGTTTATGATGTGCTTTTTCCCTTGCAAAAATGAAAAAAAAATATTTTATTTCACTTAGTGGTCAGAAGTGGAGATTATTATTTATTTGAAACGGACAGTGAAGAAGAGGAAGAGGATGAAAAAAAGGAAGAGGAAGAACCTCCAAAAAGATCTGCATTCCAGGTATTGTATTTAGCCATGTGTTCCTGTGAAATAGGGTTGAATTTTTTGAATCATTACTGAAAGCTGTGGAAATGTATGCCAATTTAAACTTTATTGCTGCTTGCTTATATTGTCAACCTTTTGCAATGCAAAGATGATATAGGAGATGTATTTTCATTCACTCACAAATGTAGCATCTGTTTGTTTTTAAAAAATAAAGTTTCTATCCTGAACTCTATTTTTCTGATGTTGCATTGAAGACAAGTGAATAAAACATCTTTTCATCAGCATTGCTTGATATTGCTTAAATGTGTTTTTGTTTGTTTGTTTGTTTGTTTGTTTTGGGAAAAAAAGCCTTGTTGGATTTATAAAGATATATTTATTGCAATAAAACCTGGGTTTTGTATGAATTGAAATAGTTTTAATCAATGATAGAAATGAGCCAGAAGTAACAATATAGTTAATATGTTCTTGTGTTCCAGGCTAAAGAAAGGTAAGCCATAAAGGTATGGACATACCCATCAGAATGCAGCATAACTCTCCTAAGTTAAGACAATAAAGTTGTAATAGTATATTTTGTGATATGACGTTTTGAAGTGACCACATAACTGTACAGACATGGAATATTAGTGTCCTAGTAGATGGGCCATGGATTGTTGCATTGAGACTCTACTTGGATTGTTTATATGATAGTTGTCTGAAATGAACAAAATTAAGATCAGAGTTCCTGTCTGAAGTTATATCATATTTGGAGCTCCCTGGTTCACAAAATATCTTTCACTAGCATATCTGTCAATTAGTTGAATTCATATTCCATAATTCATGTTATAGACCAATTGATAACAGTAACCTAATTACAATTGCTAATCCCAATTATAGTACATTTAGTAAGCTAATAACTATGAATAGTAAGTTAAAATGTATATAAATCACACTGATTCAGTAGTTCTCTCTTAGTAGATACTAGCAATTGAACTTAGGCCTATATATCTACTTTTGAGTATGCTCCACCTCAATGTGTTATGTGTTGAGGACTGTGATAGGAAACTGCACATTTGTTTTTTACAACACATGTAGATTCATTTCCATTCATTTTTATATTTAATCCTATTTATTAGTTTACATTCACCTGAAATGTTATATAAGAACAGTTCCTAAAGTAAATTCATTATATGCCACAAGCAGGTTTCTGTATGAATTTGAAGAAATTTTAGAAATCTAGCCAGTCTAAACTTATTCTATAATAGATTTCAAGTTATTCATATGCTCAAAATAACTTTTGTCAATGTCTCCTCATCTTACATTGAAGCACCTTGAAATATTCTGTATTGGGATCTGTGCATTTCATTATTTGGCAATAATAATGAAATACTTCATACTAGTATTTTTCATTCACAAAGATTAGAAGTCTGCAAGTATATGTTTGGTCACAGGAGAAAGGGCAAGGATATAGGAATGGCATCAAGGATGGGAATCTATAACTTCTGACATATGCCACATTCCGAAGATCAATTAAAGAGTTCATTTGTTTTTCATCAGTCCTACTAATATATTATTGTTATATGTGGAATGAATAACCTTCACACAACAGTGCTGTCACTAATTGAAGAACACTACTAAGCTTGAATCCTCAGAGTTCACATATTATATGCTTGTTTTAATATAATTTAAATCCTGTTGTCTAATATAATTGTGCAAAATATTTCTTATAACAGTAGTGATTGTGTTTCACTAATTTTCTTACTTTGTCCTTCTTTGTAGAGAGCTATTGCGAAATTTGCTTCAGCCATTTTAGCCTTGCCAAAGTCTGTTATTAAACTGCCCAAAACTATTCTTCAGTATTTAATCAGAGCTGCAAAGGTATTTGATGTTCCATACTGTGTAGATTGTGACCTCCTCCCTTACTCTTCTGGCAAAGGGTACCTTTTTTCTGCATTTTCCCTCTAAAGGCAAACATCATGAGGATTTGTTTTGTGTAAGATTTGATAAACTGAATCACAGGGTGAATTGCCATGGCCATTTTGACTGTGATCATAGATTCTTGAGAGAAAATGCAGAGACACATCTTGGTATAATCTCAGGACTTCTGCCAAAGCGTTTTTAAGAGGGTTCCATCAGGTTACATACATCTATATAAAATGGGGGAGGGGGAGAGATGACCCTTTTAAAATTGCACAGTTTAGCAGAACTTCACATTGCATGATAATCTTTCTCAGAAAGCTGGTAAACCCTATCGCATTGTAGGTAAGCACATCATACTTCCTTGGCATCATTTTCCTGATATTACTAAGTAATCCCTTAGTTTTCTGTAGAACCTATTTTGGAGGTCATTGCAATATTTTAGCAGTGATTATTTGTACAGATGCAGTATGCTACTTGCTTGAAAGAGCTAAAAAAAGTTTTAGATTTAGTAAAGTTGATCAAATCTTGTGATCTCTCTGTATTTGTGTTGCTCTTTAAATGCAGAGTTTAATGATAGGACTGATTATGCATCACCGCAGTCTCTCCTCTTTAAAACTTGTTGTTTGCCTCCAAGGCATATCTGTCTTGTGGCGACCTCCAAGGCATTATAATAGGATTTTCTTGGCAAGATTTGTTTAGAAGGGGTTTGACTGCTCTGTGAGCATGACTTCTTCAATGCTATCTAGTAGTGGGTTTCTTGGCTCAACATAACTTGCTCTTAAAGGTATTTGCAGTTTTTGAAAAAAATTGCTTGAATGTTCTAGTTGTGCAGAATTTCAACAAAATGATGACTTTACAGTTGAGCTGCTCCAGTTATTATCTTTATTCAATTTCTATTCAATTTCTATTCAAAGCTATATGTTTCCACAACTTTTTTTTTGGGACAGGAACATTACTCAAGTGCTGAAGGTCTCCTGCTTAAATTGCAGGCTTAAATATCAAAAGAACTGAGAACACCTTTCATTGTTCTGCTGCCACAAAAACAGGCTTGAGGGCAAAGCAATACTCAGGAATGATTTGGGATGTAGTCAGGGAATACTGGGTGGTGGAAAGAAACATCACAAGTGAAGAGGAGTTACTAGTGTGAGCAGAAGCACATTTTCATTTGTGCAAAGCATAGTTGGATCAAATATATTTAGATCTCTTCATACATCAGATGTAGTATTTGGTTTTAATTATTATAAAAACTAGGGTTTTGACATACAACAGAAAAAAAGAAAGATAAACACTGTCACTTTACCCTTTTTAGAATTTTTCATCTTCACATTTCAGAAGTTTCTTTTAGTTATATGCCCCTTGACTTTTTTAAGACACATCTTCATAAAGCACCAAAGTATTCTTGTACATTAGAAGAGCTATAAATAAAGCAACATTTCCCTTCTCAATCTCCAATTAAGGCATATTCCAGCTTCCCTGAGACAGTTTGTGCATGCTTCTATTGTAAATGGTCACTGTTCTGCTTTTCCTCTTCTTTTCTCTGCATGTATATCTTTGTTTGTTCCATGGCTGTAGCTAATGTATTTAACTTGTGATGCAGTGCTAACTGAAGATGATTTTCATTCTTTAATAATGAAGATCATACAGACAAAAGCAAACACCTTTTGTCTCAGACTGCTATCACATAGTACTCACCTTTTTGTTATTTTCATTCAAGTGTGCTGGAGAAAATCAGGTGGTGGTTGTGGCATTATGAACTCCCATTCCATATCAATTAAATATTGATTTTTAAATCAGTGCATTTAGATACTCAACCATTTTAGAAAAGTTAGATTTAACTTAATATTCATCTACTCTGTGAAATATTGTTCAACAGGTAAGACTGTTTACAGGAATTAGTCCATATGTAAATAATGCTTTAATTCCCAGAACATATTTCGTGAATTCACAACTTTATTGATGTGATTTGGTTCATTAAGAAATTGAAAATTACATCCACAAAATCACAACTTTGAGACATTTGGTTGGAAGTGGAAATATTTATTTAATCTTCTCACTTTAAATGTATTTATTCAAAGCTGTATTATTTTGTCATTTGTCACTATTTTCTTTGCCAGTTAATTGATAAGAAATCTGAATAAATTGGTTTGTTCCTTCTAGTTTGTTTATCAGGCCTGGATTACTGATCCTAAGACTGCCCTCCGACAGAGGCGAAAAGAGAAGAAAAAAATTGAGAAAGAAGGAAGACGAAGGCGGAAAGGATCTGGAGATGGTATTTATTCTTCTGTAATGTTCTAATTTATATACCATAATTTACATAACAGTCATTTCCCATCAAGAAAGGAGTTTTTTGCTTGAGGGTGTACCTTTCATGTTGAGGAAAGCCACAGTCTGTTGTTGTTGTTGTTATTATTATTATTATATTTGTATCCCACCGCCATCACCCTGAAGGGTCCCGGGGTGGCTCACAGAGCACTCCAAAATGTTGCACATAAAATAAACAATACATAAACCTAAAAACAATAAAACATAAGATTACAATCATCCACACATATAAAATCACATATTAAAATTCACAAAACACAGTCGTAACTGCAGATAAAACTGGTTATCAATGACAAATCCAGTGCCAAAGGCCTTCTCTCTCCCCACCAACTATATTTAGGATGGTGATGGGACTGAGAGAAGGGCCTCCCTGGTGGATCTCACAGTCCACGTCAGCTCTTAGAAGGAGATATGATCTCAAAGACAAATTTTCTTGTTTTACGAAGTTATTTATTGTCTTTAGGGGTGAAAATGGTTGCACACAAATATTTTATAATGAGTGACATGAGAAAGGGGTCCTTATATTGTATTTTAATCAAATTAGTTTTCTAAAAACTTATTGTACCAGAAATGAGCTGAGTACTCATGCTGTTTCTGTTCCCTTCTTATCCTTTCCTAACACCTTAATACTTCTGCAGGGGCAGATGATGCTTCAGTATTTCTGATTTGTTTAATCCACAGTTTCTTGTAAAGATCAAAATGAGACAAATTATGTTTTCATTCTGCTTTGTAGCTGAAATATTCAAGTTGCTGTTTCCCAACTTGGATATTGTGAAAAACTGTCAAACTATGAAATATGGTTTATGGACTGGGAACTGTGATTTAACACATGATAAAGAAAGAGGTGTAAGGAGTATGTGGGAAAAAGGCTTGCTGCTACCATTTTAAAATAATGGCTACATTCCATTAGTGAATTATGATAGTGTTAATCTTATTTACATTTGCTATTCACTTCTCTGGTTATTGCATTGGTCAGTATTCTGCTCTGACTATGAAATAGTTAAGTTTGTAAGCAGCACAGTCCTCCCAATATGGATCCTTCCATGTTGTTGGAGGGCAGGAGAAGAGCAAGGATGGATCAAAGTCTTTTCTGCAACTGGACACCCTGCAGCACACATTGGCAGAGATCTCTGGATCCTTTGCCATGATGCCATTCTTTCTCTTCACCTAACTCCAGGAAAATAGCATCTTGGGTATTACTCCCACTCTACTGAAAAGTGGAAATTGTCATGTTTGGGAAGGCAGTGATGTTTATAAGGTAAGCATTGGGAGATGCAACTAGATATGTGGTGGTGGAGACACTTATGGCTCCCAATGTAGGATCTCAGCTGATGTGTCTTAACTGGATGTATTTGAAGGCAACAGAGTTATAGTTAACAGTATAGCATTAATTCATTTATATTGAACATGTATTTGTGGCCAGTATTTGTTTATTGATGTTATATTTATTTCTCAGTTAGTATCGATGTGGAGTGTGAAGACAGAGAGGAATCTACCAAAAAGAAATCAGATGGACCTGGTAAGTAACGGGGCAAACAAGATATTCATTTAAAATAGTGCTAATAAGATAGCACAAACTTGTAACATAAATGCAGGCTCGTGGACTAAATAAATTAAGTAGGTACTGTTTCGTATGTAGAGATGCTTCACTTCTTAACTAAATTTATATGTCAGCCAGCTACATTTTGAAAGTTTTGAAAAGGTAGAAAATGTTTAACTGCTTCAGGATTTTTAAAATAACAGCTAAAGTGTATGGAAAATTGCTCACATATATGATAAGAGAACCACAGTATGTAGTTTTTGAAATAAGTAACCCATGAATTCTAAAATTGGAGTGGAACATTTTAAAATAGCCATCACCTAGTTATAGGAAGAATTTCTGTACAAACAGTGTCTACATTTGTGGGGCAGTGCGGGGGTGGGGGTGGGGGTAAGACTGCTTTCACTTTTTTGACTAATAATTTGGGTCATCAAGACAATAAATGCCCAATAATAAATACAATTGTACATAATCTACTCAAGTTTTACCTCCAGATGAGTACGTCAGATTTGGGGAGGGGCTGGGGGTAGACTTTTTTAAATCATTCAAAAATATTTACTATTGTGACAGTTGATTTACTAGGCCACATTTATTCTTTCCTCAGATAACATCATCAAAAGAATATATAATATATTGAAATTTACCTGGGTTCTTTTCTTGGCAACAATAGACAGTTTTACAGCTTGGCTTAATTCAATTTCAAGAGAGCACATTGATATTTCCACCGTGCTAAGAATCGAGAGGTGTATGCTTACTAGAGAAATCAAAAAGGTAACACGACATGACAAACACATCATTTATATGATGGAAGCAAACAGGTTTGTGATTTCAGGCATATCCCATTGTTTCATGGGGGTTATTGTGTATCAATGCATTTTCTTTTTTATTTTAATGTTTGGAACAACAATTAGAACACATAATTTGAAAACATCACACAACTGAAATGCCCAACTTGATTTTCTCATTTCTGTCCCTTTTGTCTTAGGGCAACGTTCCAACTCGAGAAAGTATCCATATGTATTACCAGAACCACATGATGAAACTTTCCAGGGAATCAGGATTGGATGAAATTTATGAACCTGGACAAGCTGAAAGGACAACGAGTCTGGAATCTGCAGCATCGCGAGATAGCGAAACCAGGTATTTTGTCAATACAAATGCAATAATTCTATACATATACGTATCTTCCATACATACCTTCATGAATACACAAATACTGTGTAAGAACTTTTTCTAACGTGATAAGTATTGTATTTCATACCTGGAATTTAAACTTCCAGGTATGAAATACAATATTTTAAGTAGAAGCAGATACTGAAGATTTGTACTTTGTTACTTTATTCTACTTCTGTTAGTATAATAGTGACAGATACTTCTATCTTGTCTGCTGTTGTCTTGTTTTGGTTTTCCTTCTCTAAATGCGACTCTAAAGATTTGTAGACAACTTCTGCATTGAAAAAATATATGCGGAGATTCTTGGTATTGAAAAACCCAGACTAGTTTATCTGAAAAAGCAGGAATATTTCCCATTGTCAGTGGGTTTGGATAGTGTGGAAAGGGCTTTCAGTACATTCCTGATACACATAACAGAGATTTCTTCATGTTATGTTCACAGTCCCTTGGGTGAAAGTGCTGTTAATGCATATATCAGTCTGTGTACATAGTGTTTCTGCTTGCTGGCCAAGCACATGGATGAGAGGAAATAATTTCCACTCTTGACACTCGCATTAGGAGAGAAAGGTAGCTCACATGGTCTTGCAGTCCCTTCGGAAGTGTTCTTTCAACCTATTGTGAGTCCCCGGTGGTGCAGTGGGTTAAACCCTTGTGCCAGCAGAACTGCTGACAGACAGGTCAGCAGTTTGAATCCGGGGAGAGAGGGTTGAGCTTCCTCTGCCAGTGCCAGTTCCCCATGCGGGGACATGAGGGAAGCCTCCCTCAAGGATGGTAAAACATCAAACATCCGGGTGTCCCCTGGACAATGTCCTTGCAGACAGCCAGTTCTCTCATACCAGAAGCGACTTGCAGTTTCCCAAGTCGCTCCTGACACACACACAAAAAACCTGTTGTGAGACCTTTCCTTTTGTCACTATACAGTGAGGGTTTTCCCTGCAACCGCACTTTAGAAGCTCATGACATTTAAAGTGGCTGGCTTTAATGCCATTTTTTCTATTCAAAGCTGGCTTAAAATAGCATTATGTAACACAACTTTTGTTCCTGGGTCATAAATGTTATTGCCTAATTGGTTCTTTCATAAAAACATGGAAAATGTGTATTAAACTACAAAAACTTTGTTTGTGCTGGACGTCCCACAACACATTTTGCTATAGTTTCTCAATAAATACATGATAGAGTCTCAACTCTCAACTAATTCAACATAGTTTGTGGCAGCCTCCAAAACAATGTTTCTGGAATATAACAACAACTTTCAAAGTAAGTCCTGCACAATTAAAAGGAAACAACACTTTCAAACCAGGAACAGATTTTTTTTCAAATTTTGTTACTTAGTGTAGTTTGCTGTTTTTAAAGCTTTTGAATTCCATTGAAATAAAAACAGAATTTAAAGCTACTGAATTGATTTTAAAACTATTAAGTTGAGGGTGAAAGAAAAAGCAATGAGTGTTTTTCACTTATTTTAATTACATACAATTTTATTCTTGTTTTAAAAAGAACACTTTAAAACAGACCTTTACGATATGCCTCCCATAAGCTGCAGCAGCCTCCAAAGGATTTCTGGTTGCCCAAAGAGGCTGCCACTCTTTCTGGTTTCTCTGTCTCTTGCAAGATGTGTCATTTAATCGTTAATCTATAAAAAGTGGGAGGGGTGGGGAGGGGCAGGGCAAACTGGTGGTCATGTGAGTAGTTCAGCCCATCAAGATTGAGCACGGAGAGAGCGGTAAGAGGAGTGGCATAAAGAAGTCGAGCCTATTTTAATATTGACCCTTTATTACTGAAAGGTTGTGAAGACATGCTTTACATGGCCACATATTTGAGCGTGTTTTTAATTGGATTTTTTTGAAGGCTGGTTTGTTTGGGTTTTTAAGGTGTTGTCTTTGGGCCCATTAACACTACAAAACTAAAGTGCCATATTTCAATAACCTCTGAAGTCTTGGGATCTATAGTTTATGGAGGCTGCAAAATGGTTAGCTATCTTATCCATGTACAAAGCAGAGAAATTGAAAACATTTCAGCATTCTAACATTGCTTGTGGTGAATGCTGCTTTTTTCCCCAACTTCTAGGGGAGGGATTTTTGACATGATTCACAGCAATATGCTTATATTTCTTAATGAATAAAAGGCTAGCCCTATTTGCAAAGGATTTCTTTTGAAAGCGGGTGAGAACAAAACTAGTAAAAATTATTTTATAAGTATCTGTAAGGCTTAGATACTCTTATCTCTGTGGTTCCCATAAACATCTTACTATCCTGAAAAATTTGTGTAAAGCATCAATCGCTCATCTATTTTCAAATGCCCAATCTGTATTTGTCTCAAAAGCACTCAATCTTTCTTCTCTAACTATCTAGATCTGTCTATAAGTTGATCTCATGATCATTTCAGGGCAGGTTTTGGGCTCAAAATTACAAACTTTGCTATGAGTACTAATACCAGGTGACCTACAAACGTGTCATAAATGATCACATCTTTTTGAAAGTAGTTGAATATTATAATTTTTGACATAATTCAAAGTGATGTGCTTTTATTACTTAATGAATTAAAGGCTAGTCATATTTGCAAAGGATTTATTTTGAAGGCAGATGAGATCAAAATGGTAGGAAATAAATCTCCATCCTGTTTACATTAAAAATCTGGGGGAAGAAATCATTCTTAACAGCTTTGCTATGGTGTGGAGTTTGAAACAAAACCCAAACCTTTTTCTAAGCTGACATGTGTCCAAAAAGCATAGATGAATTTCACTGATGATCTAAAGCAAATTAATCAGGATTAAGACTTTCTGAACTGTGTGAGTCTTACTATCCAAGGAGCTATCAACACTCTGAGATGACATGATTTCCCTTTTAGCTACCTATTGTTTGTATGTGGTTATCAGAGTGTTGTTGTACTTGACTACCATGAGCTTGTTCTCTCTATATATATTTGTGTTGTGCATGGCCACCTTGCATGTTTGTTGTTGAAAAATGTCAGTACGATTTTGTTCTTTAATCCTCTCTTTGTAAATGTTTGCACTGCTAGCTGCTGCACTGAAGCAACCACCCTCTTGTTGTCAAGGCAGTCAACCCTTGATGATTTAGATGGACCAGAATCTATTCCTAAAACAAGTGAGCGTGCGCGACCTAGGCTTCGTAAAATGTACAGCATGGATGTATCCTCCTCATCTGCTGACAGTGGCAGTATAGTGTCAAGGTGCTTAACTCATGCATGCTTTGTTCATTTATTCACCTTCACTATTGTAAATCTGGGTAATGTAAAAGTTTGCAAGTATATTGTATATCTGTTTTTTGTAGTAATATTGTGTGAGTAGTTGCTTGCATGCAGAGCAGATGCATTTGTCTCCTATTTAGGATCCTACCATTTCTGCTTTTTTGGGAGCACCTTGTCATTTTAGTTGATGCGTTTTCATTGTTATACTTTTAATTTCAAATTTTTCACTTGGTTCGTGTTTTTTCCACTTAAGAGTTTGTAATGTAATATTTTCTTCAGATCCTGGTTAAGACAGAATTCAAGTTAGCCTTAGCCATGACTAATATTACTTACTGTTGACAAAAAAAGCCTTAAGTCTACTAAGATCAAAGGAAATGGGGGAGTCTATTTTAAAGAAATGGAGAGGGCAAAACACATAACCCATGGCCTTCTTTTAGACTCAGGTGTGGTTCCTTAGGTTTGCACTAGCTTGATATGATAGTCCATGCAACCATTATATGCCTTGTGAAGTAAGAAATTGATGAGAATATTGTTTCCTCTTTTTGTGACAGTGAGGCTACCCAAATTACTATGCTATATTCCCGTCAGGGAACAGCAGAAACAATTGAAGAAGTTGAAGGAGAGGAGCCTGAGGAAGAGGGAGCAGATCCAACATCAAGGCAGGAGCATGATATGGAAGACTATTGCTTGGATTCTGAAGGTGCTGCATACACTCCTGATACAGATATGCCATCTTATTCAGCTTTGGATGGCATTGCTGAACCCCCTCCTTCATATAGCAAAGTTGTGAGCTTGGAGCTTTTACCTTTGGATGATCCCCAAGATGACTCCTCTGATAAAAATCAAATGATGGTGAGCCCAGATGAAAATCAGTCCATCAAACTAGAGGATTCCATACTCCCTCCTTTGACACATGAACTGACTGCAAGTGATCTACTTGTTAACAAGTAAGAATTATCAAATTATTTTCTCACCAGAATGTCCATATCCATAGAAAAAATTGTATAACTTTCTCTACCTGATAGATGAAAAATATGTTTAATATTCCAGCTTTTCCACTGCATTTAACTTGCAGATAACCTACTTTTTCTCAATGCTTATTTATTCTTATTGCTTCCTGCGGTCCACTGATCACTTATACACTATCTTGACTTCAGCACATTTCCTTAGCCCTGAGTCCCCTTACACACAGCTCCATAAAATCCCAGATTATCTGCTTTGAACTATATGGCAATGTGGACTCAGTTATCCAGTTCAAAGCAGATATTGTGGGATTTTCTGCCTTGATATTCTGGGTTATATGGCTATGTGGAAGGGCCCTAAGACTGGTTCCTATAGTCTGTAAAAACAAACAAACAGCTCCTTGTCTATTCATAAAGATACAGATTTTGTTTGGGGAAAATGTATTAGTTTGCCATGGGATGCAATGCTTCTGTGTGTTTGCACTATTCAATACTTAGCAACAACTTCCAAGGATTTTCTCTTATTATTAGCAGAAATGTAATTTATGCATTTATGCTCCTGTTAGGACACAAACTGTATATATATTAGAAATCACAGCTAATTGCAAGAATCTGGAATAAATATATGCATCACAACATTTTTTTCACAACATTTTTAATCTAACCATGTTTAAGTAATTTTATTTAAGTGTTCCGATATACAAATATTGTAACATGTGGAAAGTCCCACAGATTGGGTCTGACCTCTCCAGATGTTTGGATAAGTTTTAGTAACAACTGTGTTGTTCTACAGAGTAGAGGGTGTTTTCATTCTTCCTTTTAGCAAAAGATCTCAGTGAGGCTCTCCTTGTGAAATAAATGTGTACTCTAGCCAAAGGATACCTCCTGATTTGGAATGGCTTACCATATCGCTATGGGCAAAGTTTAGGAAATCTACCCATAGCTGGGGTTTTTTGAACATTTATGGTTCCTTGCAAAATGTTCTATTAAGTAGAATGATCTAATTTGTGGCTACTTAAAGATTCACTATTTAGATATCTACACATCAATCATGTAGTCTAATTTTGTTTCCACAGAATGTTTAAAGATGAAGAATTGGATGAGTCAGAAAAATTCTATGCTGATCAGCCACGATTTTTATTGCTTGTTTATGCCCTATATAATACACTTGTAGCCCGTTCAGAAATGGTGTGTTACTTTGTAATTATTTTAAATCACATGATCTCTGCCTCCATGATTACCCTCGTACTTCCTATTCTTATCTTCCTTTGGGCTATGCTCTCAGTCCCAAGGCCTAGCAAACGTTTTTGGATGACAGCTATAGTCTACACTGAGGTATGTTGTCATTGAGTAGCCATTCAATGTAAAGAAATGGATTTTGCCCACTTCTGGCAGAGCCTGCTAGATTACTTACATTTCTTCTTTTAAATAAACCACAATTTATTGCTGCTATCCAACTGAATCAAATGTAAATAGTTTAAGTTGAAGCTTTGATAAATTGGAGCTTTGATTTCTAATCCTGTTTTGTTTTTTAAAAACAATAACTTCTTTCTAACTGTGGTTTCTGGTTTTTATGTCATGGCAAATTATTATTAGTTAACACTAGACTCCATATAGGGACTTTCATGTAGGGAGTGCAAGGGGAATGAGATACAAAGTACACAAAACGTATTGGTGGAGTAGAAAGAAACATAACTTTATTGGTTATAGGTGACAGGGATCCAGGCACTGAACAACTTGACTATCAGTTGATGAAAGCACCACGACCTTCTAGTTGGAATCACAGGATGGAAGTGGGATGTACATGGGTTAAAGTCATTACATAATTCCTTTACCGCCTCAGAGATCTAAGAGCTTTTGAGCTAAAGATATCCCTGAAAGCCTTCGCCATTGAAACGTTTAAAGAAACCTCAGTAATGGTGGACACAGCATAAAAGCCCTGGTTTCCTCACATTGGATTGATCCAATTCCAGAAACACAGCAAGAATCAGGTCAGGAACTGACTTGATTCTCATCAAAGCCACTGAAGTTACACCCAAATCAAGAGTTTTCTGAGCTAGATTAATTTTTCTCTGCTTCCTCTAATATTTTAAAGTCAATGTATCATTTTTATGAATGCTTTGATATTTTATGATGCTGCAGTCCATAACATTTATGTTAAATAAAATTGCTGGAAGATGATGACACTTTCTTTTATTAATATGTAGCTATTTTTACCTTTGTTTTGTTTTTTTGTACAGGTAGCCATAGTTATAAAGTATTTTTTCCAGTTTGGATTCTTCCCTTGGAACGTAAATCTAGAAATTAAAAAAGATAAACCTGATCATCCACCCAATATTATTGGTATAGATAAGAAAGAGGGCTATGTGCATTATGATCTGGTTCAGCTACTTGCTTTGTTTTTCCATCGATCCATTTTGAAGGTATTTTAAAACTAAATATGTATTCTGTTTTCTTAACATCATTTTTGTGTAAAACGATATCGTTAACATCATGCATTATTTCCATCATAGCTAGAACACAGTTTTAAAGTTTTAACTTAACAAGTTTTAGATAGAGTGACAAACCAGTTCATTTCCCTTGCTTGTGAGGAAGAAATTTAGATTCACCATGAAGACCTCATAACAACTTCATGATGAAACTGAGTTTGTCCCTCATAAATGAGGGAAAAGAAAGGCATGGAGTTGGCTTTTTTTTCCTATTGGAAGAGGATGAGACAATCCAGAGTCAAATAAAAAGGAAGAGCAGGGTTCCCACATTGGTTTGGTAACTTTTGTGCATAGAGAAAGGAAATGTGTAGCAGTAAAACACTTGGAGGGGGGAATGGCGGGTTCCAATTCCTATTCTCCTGCAGCACTGCATGCGAACTCCCTTTCTAAGGCTTAGACTCAGAGCCTCTGAGGATCATAGCAATTCCTTATTAGGACTGCATCTCGCTCCGCATGTTGTGCAGGCCTGCTCTAAAGCTTGTTTTCACTGCCATTCCACTAATCAACACCCCTAAATTTATCTATGATGTCCTAAAAGAATCACAGTGCCTCTCATTTTAGAAATTAAGTACAGACTTGTTAAAATGCAGTACAGTAGAGTTTCACTTATCCAACCTTCGCTCATCCAACATTCTGTATTATCCAGCACAATCTGCCTCCTGCCCAGATCCACAGCTGTCACAATACATTGTGTTGTTTTGGTGCTAAATTCATAAATACAGTAATTACTAGATAACGTTACCATGTATTGAAATGCTTTTTCTGTCAATTTGTTGTAAAACATGATGTTTTGGTGCTTAATGTGCAAAATCATGGTGTAAATTGATGTTTAATAGGCTTTTCCTTAATCCCTCCTTATTATCCAACATTTTTGTTTATCCAACATTCTGCCAGATAAGTGAGACTCTACTGTATGCCATAAACCATTTTCTTAGATTATGGTTGACAAGAGGTTCATGTGTTTAGATGACAACAGTATATCACAATAGTAAATTTTCTCCATGAAGAAGGAGAGTCTCAAGAATAGTCAATTGTAAGGTACCAATCATATAGCCTTCAATACAAGAATGCTTTAAATGTCTCCCTTTTTAGTGTCATGGATTGTGGGATGATGAAGATGGAGGAGACAACATCAGTAGTAAAGATGACTCTGATGATGAGTTGGCTGAATCAGACCGAAGGGGTTCTTCGGACTCTCTGACATCCGTTAATTTGGCAACATCTGTTGAATCCATACATGTTCATTTTCCAGAGCAACAGGCAGCAGTCCGTAGGAAAAGTTCAAGCAGTGGCTCACAGCTTTCACGCAGATCCAGCTACTCTTCTCATCATTCAAAGAGAGGTACATACTCTAAAAGTGAATGGGGATTAGGCTTCTCCATACTTGAATTATATTTCTGTAAACTAGCAGTAGACATTTCAGTTTCTCTATCCCTCCTTCACCATCCTGCCGGTCCTGATGTGTTTAAAGTACTTCGGCTAGAGAGAGGATAAAAAAAAAAAAGATGGGCTGGGAAGGCATAGAAAGACCTTTTTAGAAGCTTTGTTAAGGGAGGTATATTTCTAATAAAGTACAGTGTAGGAGTAATAGCAACATTAATCAAGCCATCTGTGGAGTTCAGAAATGGACAAAGAGGAGTCTGAAAAATTAACATGTAATAATTGAATCTACCATTTCTTCTCTTTTGCAAAATTAGTTTTTCCTCAATTAACTCAGCAAGGGAGAGGGGTGCAGTCTTGCAAAAGCAACTGCTGCTTTCTGTCCTAGTTTGTTGATCTTTCTTATGGATAGCTTTTGCAAGACTGAAGTTGCTTGGTCATTTGTATCCTGATTTTCACCTCTGAAATGTTGGAGGATACAATATGCCTCTTATGGGTTATCTATGCATGTGGTTATAACATTGCAACATTGGTAACATTTCACCCCTTTTAATTGTACAACTGTTGTGTGTTTTATTGTGCATTTGCCTATACATATTTTTGACAGATGGTTAATAAATATTAAATAATAACATTGATGTAATTCAGAAAGAGCAAATCATGGAATTGAGGGCTCACAATGGACTGACATAACAGATTGCATGCCATACATAAACTAAATTCAAATTATAATTGAAAGCAGAAAACATCTGCAGAAACCAATGTACAGTACTCAACACATGCAGTAGTGCTGTTGCTTGACAACAGTGCCAAAAATAATACTTCCGCTGAAAGAAAAAAAACATTCCCTTGGCACTGGCCTAGGTTTTAGAAACCAGTAGTTTAGAAACAAATAGGGACTAAAACTAGGGAACTTTCCAGATTTTTCACTTATTCTTCCAAAGTTATATGAATTTTTTGATTTTCTGAAGTAAGAGTATATATAATTTTAAAACTCTAATTAAAGGAAATGTTGTTGTTGTTTGGAAATAGATAATGGGTCAGTCATGTTGAACTGAACTGCAGAAAGCTGTAAAGATATAAGTTCTTGTTCAGGCATAACAGGGACACTGTGTTTTCTTCTGTGTAAAAAAGCTGCAGGAAGCCTTGTAGTTATACCCCTTTACTCCTCCCTGAAAGTAGTAACTTTTCCCTTCTGATCTTAAATAAACTTAAGTTCCCGTTGACATCTGAAATTCGGGAGACTGATCTAGATGGTGTGTGACAACACAATATGATTCCACTTTGTAAAAATTTGGGCAATTCTCACAGATAGTACCATAAAGAAACCACTGTTCCCCCAACTCAGACATCGCAGAGAACTGTAATTTGAATAATATAGAGAAGTCAACACTTTTTGGGCTCTTCCTCATAGGTGAAAAGGAACTTTCTCCTTTCACTTGAACTGTGACATTACTCTATAATTTGTTTAGCCCTTCCCATAACCCAGTGGTTCTTAACCTATGGGCCACAGACCACAAGTGGGCCACGAGGATGAAAATCTGGTCTACGAGCCTCTTTCCTCTTTATTTTATTTTATTTATTTTATTTTTGCTCCTTTCGTACCACCTGCCACTCCTTCCCTGTCACTGACCATGGCATACGTTCTGTATCAGAAACTAGAGCTGATATGTTCTATTCAATGGAAATTTCTGAATCAGCATCCCAAACCGAATCTAAAGTTGACCAAAAACTAAATCATAACCCTTTTGGTACTAATGTTGGAGAGTGGTCCCTGGTCAAAGTGCTTGCTGGTCAAAAAAGGGTTGGGAGCCACTGCCATAATGTAAGCTAAAATTGAAGTTTAAGATTTACATGATAGTTTGTATACATTCTCTTCCCCTCCTCCACCCCAATTATGTTCTTAGGAAGTACCAGCACAAGGAACAGCAGTCAAAAAGGAAGCAGTGTGTTGAGCATAAAGCAAAAATCAAAGAAAGAACTCCTTATGGAAAAGCTACGAGAACAAATGATCTTAGCAAAGGCATTTACAATTAAAAAGTAAGCAATCAAGATTTTATCTGTTTAGATGAAAGGTACATTTGCCACAGACCAAATCGCAAAACTTCCTGCTTTTTTAAAAAAGAGACAACTTATTTTTATGGCATTTGTCACTGAAAAAAAATAACTGTGAGTTCTACGTGCTTAGAAGCCTTGTAGTATCTGTGCCAAATATCTGATATCTGGGTTTTACAGTCTTTGAACTATAATGGACACTCTCTGTATTTTATTAAAGGTTAAGCAAGCTTTCATTAAGTAAATAAAGTATATTAAAGGAAATAAAGTATAGAATATACATTAACTGGATCTACAAATAAGGTTACTTGTAAGTTTCTGTTTTCTGTTAATTCAGGACACTTCAAGTATATGTACCCATCAAACAGTTTTTCTACAATCTGATCCACCCAGATTATAGTGCTGTGACAGATGTTTATGTCCTGATGTTCCTTGCTGATACTGTGGACTTCATTATCATTGTGTTTGGATTTGGAGCTTTTGGGGTACGTTGGAAGGATTTTTTTGTGTTTGAATGAATATGTCATAAAAACTGGGACAGATAATTAATATGTTTTTGCTCCACTTACTTTCTTCACTCCTCTTTTCTTTCCAGAAACACTCTGCAGCAGCAGATATTACTTCTTCATTATCAGAAGATCAAGTGCCACAAGCCTTCTTAGTTATGGTGCTCATTCAGTTTGGAACCATGGTAGTAGATCGGGCGCTCTATCTGAGAAAGACAGTTATGGGGAAAGTCATCTTTCAAGTCATCCTTGTTTTTGGTATACACTTCTGGATGTTTTTCATCTTGCCTATAGTGACAGAAAGGTAAAGTAACATTGCAAATACTTGTAGCATAGCTCATCCATTAGCAAAAACAATGTTGAATTCATGCTGAAACAGGAAATATGCTGTTCATTTGATTTGTTCCATTATATGCATTACTTTATTACAATTAGCAGACCATTCAAATATTATTTGTTATTGTGTGGATTCAAGTGGGGTTTTTTTTACCTTTGGAGACGCTAAGGTGCAGGGTTTTCTTAGCAAAATTTGATCAGAGTGGGTTTTTCATTGCTTTCCTCTGAGGCTTAGAGAGTACAATTTTATCAAAGTCACCCAGTGGTTTTCATGGTCAGGGAGGATTCAAACTCCGGTCTCCAAAGTCCAACACCATGATACCAAGATACAAGTTAGCTGTGGTTACGTTCAACAAGAAATTAGAATCATTTGAAAAGATGTTTAACAGCTTCCATATCTTGAAGCTAAGAAGGTTCCGCACTGATTCATACATGTATGAGAGACCACCAACAGATAGCAGGTTTTATGAGCAATATATTTCAGAACAACCTAGCAAAACTGCATCTTGAGTATTGCTTATCTAAGCAAGCCCTACAAAATGCATAAGGTTGCCAAAAGTTAACAGGCAACTTGAAGGCACACACACTATTCCCTTTTGCTTCATGCTTCAGGCATTCATTCTGTGAAAATGGGTTTAAAATGAGACAAGTAAACATCCTCCACTTGGTGTGAGTTACATCCATAAACTGACTGAATCATTTTACCAGCTAGAAAGCAAGGATCATATGACTAGGAGCCATCCTCCCTCCTTCCTTTGCCTTGATGCTCATGATTTTGCTTCTTCTTTCCCAGCTTGTCCCCATCTTTGACCAGGACAGATGTCTTCCATTTTTTTTCAGTTATTTGCCTGTTTAATTGTTTTTTCTTCCTTCCTTTCTCAATGAGGCATATGTAAAATTTATGTTCTATGAAAACCTGTTTGTAAAGTCAGAATATGAAAACCACACACACCTAGCTAATTTATACAGATGCAAAGAGTTTACAGGCAGCACTATCCATGAGTGGACACAAATAAACCTATTATCGTGTTATCATTTTGTCTTTTTCACTGATTTCCCCTGTTAATGTGGAAAATTCTGTTAAGGAGAAAAGGATAGAATAGCTGTATAGTGCCTTCTAATGATTAGAATACTAATGATTAAGAAGCAAGTTAGATTCACATTTCAGAAGAATGGAGAAAGAATATTTTCTCAAGGGACTGTTTGAAAAAGTGACTTAAAGTTCAAGAATATTCTTATTTATATACTGTACAAGCCCCATATCCACTGGACAAATAACTGTGGTTTTATTTATTGGTGTCCAACAAAATATGTCCTTTCTTGCAATTTCCTAGCTCCTCAAACATGACTTTATGGTATTTGGAGGATTTATTTTATTTATCGTGTCATCAGCAACCATTGTATTACAATTCTAACAGAGCAAAACAAACACACAGATTAAAAAGAAAAAGGAAAAAAAACACAGATTTTGCAAATTTGGTATTTGGTTAAATGTCCTTTGACCAGTATCTGGCCACTTGGAGTGCCTCTGGGGTTGCCGCAAGAAGGTCCTCCATTGTGCATGTGGCAGGGCTCAGGGTGCATTGCAGCAGGTGGTCAGTGGTTTGTTCTTCTCCGCACTCGCATGCCGAGGATTCCACCCTGTAGCCCCATTTTTTAAGATTGGCTCTGCATCTCGTGGTGCCAGAGCGCAGTCTGTTCAGCGCCTTCCAAGTCGCCCAGTCTTCTGAGTGCCCAGGGGGGAGTCTCTCATCTGGTATCAGCCATGAATTGAGGTGCTGGGTTTGGGCCTGCCACTTTTGGACTCTCGCTTGCTGGGGTGTTCCAGCGAGTGTCTCTGTAGATCTAAGAAAAACTATGTCTTGATTTAAGTCGTTGACGTGCTGGCTGATACCCAAACAGGGGATGAGCTGGAGATGTCTCTGCCTTGGTCCTTTCACTATTGGCTGCTACTTCCCGGCGGATGTCAGGTGGTGCAATACCAGCTAAGCAGTGTAATTTCTCCAGTGGTGTAGGGCGCAGACACCCTGTGATAATGCGGCATGTCTCATTAAGAGCCACATCCACTGTTTTAGCATGGTGAGATGTGTTCCACACTGGGCATGCGTACTCAGCAGCAGAGTAGCATAGCGCAAGGGCAGATGTCTTCACTGTGTCTGGTTGTGATCCCCAGGTTGTGCCAGTCAGCTTTCATATGATATTGTTTCTAGCGCCCACTTTTTGCTTGATATTCAGGCAGTGCTTCTTGTAGGTCAGAGCACGGTCCAGAGTGACTCCCAGGTATTTGGGTGTGCTGCAATGCTCCAGTGGGATTCCTTCCCAGGTAATCCTCAGAGCTCGGGATGCTTGTCTGTTCTTAAGGTGAAAGGCACATGTCTGTGTTTTAGATGGATTAGGGATCAGTTGGTTTTCCCTGTAATAGGCAGTTAGAGCACCTAGAGCTTCGGAGAGCTTCTGTTCAACCATCTCAAAGCTCCCTGCTTGAGCAGTAATGGCACGATCATCAGCATAGATGAAACTCTCTGTCCCTTCTGGCAGTGGCTGGTCATTTGTGTAGATGTTGAACATGGATGGAGCAAGCACGCTCCCCTGAGGCAGGCCATTCTTCTGTTTCTGCCATCTGCTTCTCTGGCCCTGGAACTCAACAAAGAAGCTCCTGTTTTGTAGCAGGTTTCCTATGAGGCGGGTGAGGTGGTAGTCCTTTGTGATATTATACATTTTTCTCAGGAGGAGGCGGTGGTTCACAGTATCATAGGCTGCTGACAGGTCTATGAAGACAGCTCCTGTGATCTGCTGCCTTTCAAAGCCATCTTCTATGTGCTGAGTCAGGTTCAGCACTTGCGATGTGCAGCTTTTGCCTTTTCTGAAGCCAGCTTGCTGTGGGATCAGACAGGGGTCTATATTTTCCATAATTTGGAGGGTGGAATTCCTTCATTTTCATAAGGTCCATTATTATCTGTAGTTTCCTGAAGTTTAGGATCATATCCCCAACTAATATTTTGGAGAGTTGTGCTGTACTTACTTCCCCAACAACTGGATACTAACTTCTTACATAGTGCCTTCCTAACTCCATGTTTTATTGTTTCTATCAATAGTTTGAAAATTGTGAATCATCATTTTCTGTATCAGCAAATCCTTTGAAACTCACCCAGAATCACAATAATTTGTCCTTGAATTTGGAGAAGTTTTTTGAGCGGTTTGCAATGCAGTGTGAGAAGCTGTTGTTAAGGAACAGATAGTAAGAAGCCCCAGCCTGAATTCCACAGACTTTTGAGTCCAGAAAGTGTTGTGAATGTGTGTGTATTTATTTGATTGTCTTCTGTTTTGCATTTCAGAAAATTTAGCAAAAATACAGTTGCCCAGCTCTGGTATTTTGTGAAATGTGTTTATTTTGGATTATCAGCATATCAAATACGTTGTGGCTACCCAACCCGTGTACTTGGCAATTTCCTCACCAAAAGTTATAATTATGTAAATCTCTTCTTATTTCAAGGGTGAGTACATACCCAGTCTCTCTCTCATACACAAACACACATACTTTGTGTGTGTGTATTTTGGTTTCTTTTTCCTCTGGGCTCATCAAGTTGGATATTTATTTTATTTATCGTGTCAGGATAAATAACGAACAGTTGCATTGCATTTTTAACAAACAAACAAACAAACAAACAAATCAAGTTGGATCATATAAACTGATCTACATATCATCAATTAATGTTGTTTCTTGTTGATTCTCCATCAAAGTGCTTTCCTGGCTTTAAAAAATCCATAGGAAAGGCCACACATTTTGATTCATTTGTGGGTACAATGTTTGTGATGTGGGCTATGACATTAGATGTGGTCATGTCTAACCTCTTCAGATCTCTCAAATATGCACCTTAGCATAACATTGTAGGTCTTTATATTCAGAAAGATTAACTACCATATGCACCCACTATTAACCAGGTGTATGCTTCGACTGATGTCCTCCCTGTTTCCTAATCTTGCATTCTCAAAATAATTTGAAAATGATTAATAGAGTGTTGGGAACTGGAAGAGACTTCAGTGGCCATCCAGTCCATGCAGGAATACACAATCAAAGCACTCCTGACAGATGCAGTCTCTGTTTAAAATTTGCCAAAGATCGAGACTCCACCACCCTCCAAGGCAACATATTCCACAGTGGAGCCCATCTTATGGTACTAATGTTTAGGTGGAATCTGTTTTCCAGCAGCTTATATCCATTACTCCATATTCTCAATCAGCAGAAAACAAGTTTACTTCATCTTTAATATGACATCGTTTCAACTATTTAATTATGGCTATCATGTAACCTTACCAGGCTAAAAATACCCAGCTCTGTCATAGGGCAAGATTTCCAGACTTTTGAAACTGTTGGTCACCCTTCTCTGGGCATATTTCAGTTTCACGACATCCTTCCCAAATTGTGGTGCCCAAAACTAGACAGAATGTCCTGTAGAGATCTGACCAAAGCAGAATAGGAACTATTACTTCTCTCAACCTGGACACTATATTCCTTATAATTGCATTGTCTTTTCTAGCTGTTTCATCACACTGTTGGCTCATGTTTAACTTGTGGTTTACTAAGACCTCTAACTCCCTTTCACGTGCACTGTTATCAAGCATGTCACCCATCCTCATGTATATATTGATTTTAAAAGTCAGGAATTACAGCATTACCTCAGGCCCTCCTCATTTTCCCTGTCCTCTTGGCATAAGGAAACAGTGGCTTGCTGCAACCTTATACAGAAAGGAGCAAGGAGGAAGGTACACAACAGCTGAGAGCCCTCTGGAGAACTCTCAGCCACTACATGTCTCACCCTCCTCCTGGCAGAAGGACGGTGCATGCGCCCCTATCCCTATTCCAAGAGGGCAGCCCTGAAAGGCACGCAGTGACTGAGAGCCCTCCAGAGCATTTTTGGCTGTTGCCTGTCTTGCCCTCCTCCCAGTGTCATGCTGAGAGGATAGCTTAAAGATTGGGGGAGGAGGATCAAGGCAGTTGCTGCATGTCTCATTTTCCTCCTGGCATAAGGATGGAGTGAGCAGCCCCATCCTTATGCCAGGAGGACAACCTGAGGTTTGCCCTTACCTGCTGTAAATCATTTAATTCTTTATTTATAGATACACTTTTCATGTTCAAGTGGATCAAGTTTCATTCCTTTAGAGCAGGCATGGGCAAACTAAGGCCCGGGTGCCCCCCTGGGAACTTACCTCAGGCCCTCCTCATTTTCCCTATCTTCTTAGCATAAGGACAGGGTGGCCTGCTGCATCCTTATACCTAAAATATGGGGGAGGAAGGCATATAGCAGCTGAGAGCCCTCTAGAGCATTCTCAGCCACTGTGTGTCTCACCTTCCTCCTGGCATAAGGACGATGTGAGTGACCCCATCCTTATGCCGAGAGGCTGACTTGAGGAAGGCATGTGGTGGCTGAGAGTTCTCCAGAGCACACTCAGCCGTTGCCTGTCTCACCTTCCTCCCAGCATAATGCCAACAGGACAGCCCAGGGATGGGGGGAGGAGGATGGGAAGGAGGATCAGGGTAGTTGCTGTGTGTCTCACCTTCCTCCCAGCATTAGGATGGGATGAACAGCCCCATCCTTATGCTGGGAGGACATCCTGAAGAGGACCTGGGCCCTGCCCTGCTCCCTCATGGCCCTGTCCTTTCCTGAGCACTCCCCCACCCAGTGTGTTCCCAGCCCTCCTGCCCCCTGGCCCTCCCAGCTGGGCTTACAATCTGGCCCCAAGGGGGAAAAGTTTGTCCATGCCTGCTTTAGAGCCTAGCGCATGAATGGAAGAAATTGCAATAAACCTTCAAAGATAGTATATGTTTTCCCAAAATGCTTTAAACTATCTGCTTGGAACCTTCTAGCAAATCCTTCAAGCTAAAATAGTTCTATAACTCTGTTTAGATTCCGGTTGGTACCTTTTTTGACTGAACTGAGGGCAGTGATGGATTGGGTTTGGACAGATACTACATTGAGTCTTTCTAGCTGGATCTGTGTTGAAGATATTTATGCTCATATTTTCATATTGAAATGCTGGCGAGAGTCTGAAAAGGTAAGCTCCTCCCCCCCCCACCCCCTTTGGTGCCTTTATAGTGAATGAATGTGACAAGATCTTTAAGAAATTCAAAATACATATGCAGAAAGTAAAGAAACATTAAAATATTTGTTTTTCCAGCTTGATGGTGTTTTGTGCACAATTTTATTTAGCTAGTTTTCTCTAAGTACTGTTGCAATTGATTGTGATTGCAAAATAAAAAGCCTAATTATATACAAAGACTGATTAAAAACCTAACAGAAAGTAAAATGCAGGATCTCCTTGAAACGTTTAATTGAATATTTAATTGAAATGTTTAATTTTAGACTTCTTAAAGAAAGAACTGAAATAACTTCATATTGCCACTAAGAATTTAGGACCTTAAGTGTGTGTGTGTATCAACAGAACCTTAATGTTCAGTTTTAATGATCCAGAAAATCCTTATTTACTTACCTGAAACAGGAAGTCTTAATGAAAAGCAGGACTGTTCAACATAAATCAATGTGAACTCTAGGAAGCTGTTTCTAAATGGACCAAAGCGACATTCCAACTAAGGCTGCACATCAGATCAAAAACGTCTGAAATGCTGCCACTGACTTCAGTGGGATTTCATTTATATAACCCTAACATATTTATTATTTTTGGACCACAGTCATAAGTCTGTATGCATTGATAGCAGTGAAGTTTTAATATCTCTTTGTCCAATTTCTTTCCTTTTTTCCCCCCTTTTCTTCTTTTTTTAGAGTCACAGCAATTTCCCCTATTTTACTGTAAATAAACCCAATATTGAAAGTGTATAAATTGCTTCTTACGTGTAATATATTTTCAGATAGATCATGATGTTTATATTAAGAAACAAAATGTTCAATAACTTGGAGGTTTAAAGAGATATGCCTGAGTCACCACACTTATCTGGGACCCCTGTTCGTAGCTTGGGAGGAGAAGCAGAGCAAAGCACATACTTCTTGATATGCATTTAGTCTGTTTCAATTATTGCAGTTGCACTTAATTGAAAAACTTTTGACAGTTTCCAATCTTCCCTTTTTGGGCAATCTTGTAACATTTGGTGGCCTTGCAACTCCTTGGATGCATTTCCTTGGAAGAAATGCATTATCTGGATCTGGCGCAGTCTGGCTTTAGGCTGCAACATGGAACTGAATCAGCCTTGGTTGCCTTGGTGCAGGAATGGGCAAACTTTATGACTTGGGGACCGCATGGCAAGTCGGAGCAGGGTGGGTGGTCTGGGAGGGAGAGGGTTCTCCCTAAGTCCCCACTCTGCCCTTTCCTCCCCTTACTCTTCTTTTTCGAAGATAGGAAGTGAAGGAAAGATGGGAAACATATGGATCCCAAAAGGGTTGGCCTTAGTCAAGATGAGATGGTAGACGGGACAGAAAAAGTGTCTCCATTAGACCCCATATTGCCTACTTCTGATATAGACCCCCAAGGGCCATCTAGTCCAAATCCCTGCCATGCAGGGAGGCATAATCAAAGCACTCACAATAAGCAGCCTCTGCGGAAAAGCTTCCAGAGAAGGAGACTCCACTACACTCCCAGGTATCCTATGCCACTCTTCAGGAAGTTCTTCCTAATCTTTTCAGTCAGATATCTTTCCCTGCCATTTGAACCCATTGCTCCCTTGTGCCCTAGTCTCTAGAACAGCGGAAAGTCAGTTTTTCCCTCTCCTCTTCAATGGGTCATCCTTTTAAATCTTGAAACATGGTTCTCATGTTCCCTCTCTACCTTCTCCCAGCTAAACATCCCCCAGGAGGAAAGGAGGAAGGAAAAAGAGAAGGAAGGAAGAGAAGGGTGGAAGGATTGGCGGGAGGGGAAGGAGGGAGGGAGAAAAGAGAGAAGGAAAGACAAAAGGGAAGGAAGGGGGAGAAGAAAGGGAAGGAGGGTGGAAAGAGGGAAGGAAGGATAGGGAGAGAGGAGTGTCTGAGAAAAACCCAAGGGGTCCCATCTGGCCCTTGGACCTGGGTTTGCCCATACTTGCGTTAATGGATGATTTGTGAAGAGAACTGGACAGAGGGAGTGTGTCCCTGTTAGTTCTCTTGGACCTCTGTGCAGCCTTTGATATCACGGTATCCTTCTGAGATGCCTCGCAGGAAGGGGTCTTACAGTGGCTCCAGTCCTTCCTGGAGGGTTTTTCTCAGAAAGTGTTGTTGGGGGACAGTGGCTCGGCCCCACAGCCTTTGTCTTGTGGGGTCCTGCAAGGTTCAATATTGTCCCCCCATGTTGTTTAACATCTACATGAAGCCACTGAGAGAGATCATCTGGTGTTTTAGAGTTCGATTCATCCAACTCCTTTCAACCTGCTACTTAGGAGGTTGTTCAGATCCTGAATGGGTGCTTGGGCACTGTGACAGTCTGGAGGAGGGCAAACAAATTGAAATTGAATCCAGACAAGGCAGAGGTTCTCCTGGTCAGTCACAAGGCCAAACAGGGTATAGAGTTACAGCTTGTGTTGGATGGGGTTACACTCCCCCTGAAGTTTAGGAGTTATCCTGGATTCATAGCTGAGCCTGGAACCCCAGGTTTCAGTGGTGGCCAGGGGGGCTTTGGGAAATTGGATTTGACCATGGTGGTCTAGGCTCTTGTTTCATCTTGAATAGACTACTGCAACGTGCTCTACGTGAGGTTGCCTTTCAAGACTGTTTGGAAGCTTCAAGTAGTCCAGACCTCTAACTGAAGCAGAGTATAGGGAGCACACCCCTGCTGCACCAGCTTTTGTCCAAATTATTTCAAGGATAGCTGTCGCTGTTATAAACCTGCATGTGCTTTTAGAACTGCTGGAGAGGCCCTTCTCTCTGTACCACCATCTTCAGAGGCGAGATAGAAGTTTGGTTGTTTGATCTGCCTAACATTAGATTTTGCTTGTTGCAGCGATATCCCCAGCCAAGAGGCCAGAAGAAGAAAAAGGCAGTGAAGTACGGAATGGGTGGCATGATTATCGTTTTGCTGATCTGCATCGTATGGTTCCCACTGCTCTTCATGTCTCTTATTAAATCTGTTGCAGGCGTCACAAACAAGCCTCTTGATGTTTCCATCACAATAACTTTAGGGGGTTATCAGGTAATAGCCAACAAGCTAAAATGTTGCCTGTTTTCCTGTATACACTGTTTCAATTTATATTAATTTGGATGTTGAAATGCTGGTAAAACAAAATTATACTTATGTAATTTTTTTTAAAAAATTAAATTTACTAATCATAAGTATTTCCCTCTTACCTTGCAGCCCATTTTTACAATGAGTGCTCAGCAGAGTCAGTTAAGGAATATGACTGGCAAAGAATATAATGAATTTTTTAAAAAATTTAAAGATAATGTAAGTAATTTTACAAATTTGATAAATTTTGTTACTATATGAATAGTAAGGTAAAAGTTTTCCCCTGACATTAAATCTAGTTGTGTCTGACTCTGGGGGTTGGTGCTAATCTCCATTTCTAAGCCAAAGAGCCGGTGTTGTCCGTAGACACCTCCAAGGTCATAGGGCCGGCATGACTGCAAGGAGCGCCGTTACCTTCCCGCCAGAACGGTACCATGAAAGGCACTGCAGACTACTTCAACCAGAGAAATCAGCCATAGCAGAGCACCTGATGAACCAGCCTGGACACAGCATTTTATTTGAGAACACAGAAATGCTGGACCACTCTCACAACCACCATGTCAGACTACACAGAGAAGCCATTGAAATACACAAGCATGTGGACAATTTCAACAGAAAGGAGGAAACCATGAAAATGAACAAAATCTGGCTACCAGTATTAAAAAAACTCTAAAATTACAACAGCACAACAACAGAGAGAAAACAAACAAGGACATCTAATCACCTCTCAACAATAATTTGCTCTAGGCACTGTCAGGCCATTATATGCTAATCAAGGAGGTCTGTTAAAACATTCACACCTAGCTCCAGCAGACAAGAGTCCTTTGTCTCACCCTGGTTATTCCACAGATATAGAAACCCTTTTTCCTAGTTCCAACAGACCTCACTACCCCTGAGGATGCTTGCCATAGATGCAAGCGAAACGTCAGGAGAGAATGCCTCTAGACCATGGCCATATAGCCCGAAAAAACTTACAACAACCTATATTCTGGTCTCTCAACAAGTTGAAGGATTGTGAACTGGCCCTCGGCTTAAAAAGTTTGGACACCTCTGCTCTGCAGAAATTTGCCAAGATAATTCCATGATAAGGTCATGATCAGTCAGAACCATCTTGAATACAAGGACAACAATACAGAGAAAAACTGAGCTCATGAAATATTAATTAAACTGTCAAATATTTTCTACAAACTTCATCATGTTTGTGGCTGGTCAGTTGAGAGGGCAAATTGTCATGAATGTATGATGATAAATTCAGGCTTTTCAAGAAAGGACTGTTGAAGGAGGCAGTCTACATAGTTGCAGGAGTATTTCCATGGCTCTGTTATATTTGAGCCTACAATAACAACAACAACATATATTTATAACTCCATTTTCACCGAAGGGTGGAATATCAATGTATACAAAAATATTTCCAACACCCTACCATTCACTACTCCTCACAGCAACCTCAAGCACAACTCAGCAACATAATCTGCCTAATCAAAAGAGGAAGGCATGAAAAATGCCAAGCATTGGAGTCCTACAGTCATAGACTTGGCTAGCATTGATATATTTTCTATTTTTATTCTCTATATGAAATTCTGCTACACTTATTTCCTGTCCTTGTTGTGTCCAAAATATCATTTGCAAGCCACTTCTCCTGACTATGAGGGTGGGGGAGAAGTTCAAATTGGAAAACAAATTCTATGCATTGAATACTCCATTGCATAAGAGCTTCAGATGAACTTTGCCTTTCTCTCTCTTTTAGTCTGCTTTGCAGTTTTTAGAGAACTATGGAAGAGAAGATATAACAGTTGCACAGCTTGAAGGCAGTTCAAATTCATTGTGGACTATCAGCCCTCCCAGCCGGAAAAACATGATTAAGGAGCTCAAGGCAAATGATTCTGATTTTTCTCTAGTTATTTCATGGTCTGTTCAAAGGTATGTTTTCATCAGTATTGTTATCTTTATTCTACTAGTGTTGATTTTTTGTTCCCCTCAATTTCTCTTAGCCTTCATCTTGATTGATATATGCCACCTAAGACAATCCCTTATACTTTTACTGTCTACATTTGTGTGGGATGGGAGGTTTTCAAGAGTATTTTAGAATGAGCCCAGATGTAGCAATTAAAATGATCTACATGGAAGATAATCCAGAATAACATTGGATTTGGAGGTGAGGGGTTTACAAAGATCAACTTTCACCCTCCACTGTCACTATTTCTGTAATGAGAGTCTGCTTGACCCAAGGCGCTTCCCTGAATAGAAGGGGCCTCCTAGAATCACTGTAGGCAGCTGTGCCTTATGAAGGGAAGTGTGGTGGTTGTTTTATTTTAAAATTGGGAGGAGCCTACTTCACATAGCCAGAAATTACTCTAGAGCTGGTTAGCAAGAAGACAGCCTATCAAATTTAACCATATTAATGTATTTGAAATGCTAGGAGCAAAGCCCTCTTCAGCTCCTGGGTATCAACACACTAAAACTTGCTTTTGTTTCCCTCTATCAATGGAAAGCAAGTTTTGGTTTACTTATAGTCAATATTGCCAATATTGAAAGCTTTTGTGGCTAGAGGAGGCTTTTCCCTCCATATTTGCCCTCTTCCAAATGTAGAGGTAGGTGGAAGTGACATGGTGAAGATGAAAGGGAAAGTTTCCTTCAAGGGATGCCTCAGTTCCTTCTGTATTCCTTTTACTTCTAATTAGAATACCTAGGCAACTGGCTTTTCACAATGGGTCGCAGCCCTGTAAACATATCTCAAGCAAGCTTGGTCTTGTGAAATAACCACTAGATGGTCTTTCAGTAGTAGTAGTAGTAGTAGTAGTAGTAGTAGGTAATACTACCGTTATGCCTCTGATTAATAGTCACTATCCATATCTGTGCTCTGCTTGCCCCACCAGCTCAATAGATAACTTAAGCAGTGATTAATCTATTTACCCCAAGGAACTGGGAAATTGTTGTTTTTATTCGATGTTTGATGTTTTGTCTTATGTCTGTTATAATAGGCTGTGTTTTTATTTTATTTTAGTTGTTAAGTCATAACTCGTGTTTATATGTTGGGTTGTTTAAATTTTGTTAATATGGATGTATTGTTGTTGTATTCGGGCATTGAATGTTTGCCTTTTATGTTTGGAATCCACCCTGAGTCCCTGCGGAATATAAATAAAATATATTATTATTATTATTATTATTATTATTTCATTTGGAGAAGAGGAGTGATTCCGTATCTTCATTTATTAATCAGTTTGCCTTAGGCTCCTTGACACTTGGGTCTTGCTGTAACTAATTTTCAATCCCCATGAGCGATACCTTATTGTTGCAGAATTGTATATAATTGCCTACAAACTATAAGGATCTGAGATTATCTTAACTGCTGGAAAGTTGTTTGGAACTCATTCATAGCAATGAGATTTTCTTAGAAGAAGGACTGGACTCACAGGTTGGAGTTGCAAGAGATTCATGCAAGAATTTTGCTCTGGAGTTCAAGCCATTGTTGAATCACTACAGCTAAAGACGACAGTTCTTTCTGTGATTTAATCAATGTGAAGTCTATTATTTAGGGAAAACAACATTCTGGACTTCAGGACTGAAAGGATACTTTGTGATTATATGTTGACAGATGGTTGAATAATATGACTTCTGTTTCTGTTTTGATTAAAGAAATCTGTCCCTTGGAGCAAAAGCGGAAATAGCTTCAGATAAAGTGTCTCTCAGCCTGCCAATTAAAACAAGAATAAAAATTGCTGAAATGATGGAACAGTCCAGTTCATCAAACTTAGTGTAAGTTATTGTCTTCTAAACAAAGCTAACCTTTACTGGGGAAGGCAATGGTTGTTAGAAATTATCTTGAAATTCAATTTATTGACAGAGGCAAATACCTTTTTTGGCAGTTGGACACATTTAATTTTTCTTCTCTTCAAATAAACAGTCCTTCCACTACCATAGACCACACATTAGCCCACTATGAACAATTAGTGTTATGCTTTTCAGATTGAATTGGGCAGAATAGTTTTGATTGACTAGAGTTGATGCAGGCCCAATGAACAAAACTTTGATTTCCTATTTTTCAGTGATAATTGATATTTCCAATTTGTACAGCCTGAGAATTGCACAGGAGTTTTGAAAAAAGTTACCCTTGCCCATCTCTGGCTCATAAACTGACATGGCTACATGAAACATCTGTTCAAATAGGAAATGAACGTCTCTAGAGAGCAGGATGAGGTTATGGCGTTCCTAAAAGAGGAGATAGTTTAAAACACACTCTCTGAATCCCATCGAACTCAATAATGTACAGCAAACCAGATATTCTTGGATAAAGTGCTTATGTTTGTAGCATGATCTCATCCTCCCCCCCCCCCAAAAAAAACATAAAATTAAAATTTAAAGAGAATAGGAAGCATGGCATAGCACATGCATACACATACACACACAACATGACTATGTTTTTTGGGGGGAGGGGGGCCTAAAACGGAGATGGTTGGATGCAGAAGTGACTTCTTATTTATAGGTTTGATTTTTGTCTCATGTGGAGTAATTGAGAGAGGTTTTCACCTACAGTAGGTCTCATGAGAACTGAAACTGTCCTTTAATCCACAAACGTTATCTATTAATAAAATAGGACAAGTGATTAGCTTAGTCAGATACTCTAATGGAGAATATTTAGTTGATCGATTTGTTTCAAATGCAAATGTAAAAAATGTTGGGAATGCCATTATATTCTTGGTACATCAAAAATAAAGTAGAATAATAGAATTATAAAATCATAGAGTTGAAAGGGGCCTCATCAGATTTCTTTGTTTCTGAAAAGCATCATCTACCACGTCACCTTGGCTTGCTGGCTTTTAGAAAACCCTTAGCTCAATGTTGTATTTATTCTTTCTCCATCTATTTTTACCCAAAGTTTTACCCAAATGCTTTCAACTGCTCCACTCTGATCACTCTCATGGATTTCTGTGCAAATAAATTTATCTTTGACATATAATGCTATTCACCATCTTTTCTATTATTTTTGAATATGTTATATCTTTCAACTGTCATATTCCAGTCATGGAAATCTTTGTTATGCCAATAAGGTCATTATTTACCTCCCTGAACTAGAAGTTCAAGCTCATATTGTTTGTTTCCCAAAATTCTGCACATTTGAAACTTTATTTGTTGTCATCTGTAAATTTATTGTCAGATTTTTGGTCTTTTGCTCACATTCTCCCTCCAAATTTGCTTTCTACAATTTACAGCCTGATATTTAGAGCTTGCCTTTGGGCTAATGTTTGAGTTATAATCTCCAACTCCAAGAATTTAGTTTAAAGGCCTTCTGATCAGACATGCCATGGTAATTCCAAAGGCATTCTTCAAACTCTTCATGGGGTGCAGCTCATATGTAGCCAGTAGTTTTCTGCCTAAAAAATGAAGCCCATTTTCCCAGAAGCCAAGCCTCTTCCATCTGTATCAGCTGTGCAACCAGTCCTTCAGTTTTCTGTCCCTGTGCACTCATCTATCCTTCACTGGTAGAATCAGTGACAATACCACCTGTGCCTCAAACCCCTTCAGCTTCCTGGCCAGATCTTTATAGACAGAGTTGATCTGCTCAAATGCCATTAATGGTCTCATGAGAAAAGGAGAAAGGGATACTGATAGATGCACCAGGAAGAAGTTACACTTGTCAATTTATCTTGTCAGTCTAACCACCTCATACAATGGCTTCATGCAGATATTAAGCAACATGGGATAAAATATTGAAGCCTGTAACACCTTCAAGGTTAATGGACTCTAGTGCCATTCTCTGGATTTGGCCCTGCAGTTGGAAGTTGAATCAACAATGAGTCCTGGAATTATTTCATCAGTGATATCAAAATCATGGAGAGATTCTGGAAGATCAGGAAGTTAGATCCCCTCCTGACTTGGACAACCAAGATAGTTTTTGTACCATATCCTGCTGAGCATCAGTCTGAAATGGTTCCAAATAATCTTATTTCCTAAAGGAATTTCTGAAGCCGACCAGATCACGTACTGTATATTACCCAAAGTAGATGTACATAACAGGACAGTAGTCCTAACATATGTTTGAGTCCAGAAAGGTCCTCTTCTGAAAAGGGCACTCTCCAATCGCCTTCAAAACATCATGCACCTATTCCTGACCTCTCGAGGCCATCCAGTCAATCCACCTGTTAGATCTTACTAGCCAAAAGGAGCAAGGTGGGGTAAACAAATACAAGTATCTTGCCCAACCATCAGGACACAACAATGGAAAATGATCCTAAAATATAAGATCATGTGGTCTCCAGATTTTACAATAACTGTGCTGTCAAGTTCTGACTTAATATGAGTGGCTTTCTCCTCAGTGTGTAGGCAGCAGGCAACAAAGGGCTGCACTATTGACGTCCCTAAAACTGTTTCCATCACCACTCAAAATAGCGCTGCTGGACATAATCTAAATATAATAGTAATAGTACAATAAGTTGTTTTTGCCAACTTCCCTACCACATAATAGGCACAATGAAGAGTGCTTATTGATTTTTGGTCGTGCTCATTCTGTAACCTATGCCACTTGCATTCTACTGATCATCCATCCATAGACATTCACACAGCAAGATGAATATACACTCCATTGCAATGAATTTGGCGTTTAAGAGCAATCATATTGATGTTTTTTTTCACCATAATGATACATGGATAGAAGTGCAGACCTTATGCCAACCCTCAAAATAATAAGAAAGTTGATGTGGCTATAAGGATCCAAGCTGGACAAACTGAGTATAGATGCTTAAGTTAATCAAAACCACAGTCCTGGGTTCTCCAGCACTATTTCTTATATAACCTTTGCCAGCTCAGGCCGGGAGACTGTTAAGCAAAGACTGGTGTGTATATCAGTAGCATACCTGTTCCCTTTTTTAGAAGAGCACAAGATACCGACATGATAAATGTCTTCTTGGCCATGCCATTAATGGTCTCATGAGAGAGATGGAATTGTAATAGACAACAGTATTTCCAATCCCAGCCTTCTGATGTAGGTTGATGCTGCATCAATGCCAAAGTATACAAAGCTTGACACAAGTCCAGACTCATCCACCTAGGACCTCTATAATGCATGCTGGGTCAGTCTCTTCATCTACAACCAGTTCATATATATTAGCCTGCATTCAACAGCAGCACCAACAGACCAGAGGGTGGGCTAACAAGGCAACTTCATTCTGGTGGTAAACTTTCAATTATCTATCCCCATCTTTTGTTTCCTTGACATGCCCAACACCCCTACTTCTCCCTGTGTGCGTTTACTCTGTTGTGAAAAAATGAATCAAACCTGAGAATTTCACTTTCAATCATTCTAAGACTTAATGATTATATACAGATCAAAAAATAAATTCACATTAGTATACTCTTTACAATTTTTCTCATGCAGAACACTGGAAGAAGTATATCCACATTATATAAAAGCACCCAGTGACTCTGTTGCAAAACCCATCAAGCAACTTTTGAAAGGTATGGATTTTCATTTGTTTTCTGCCTCTACATATTCTCTGGAATGTTGTGGTCTAGATTGTTTGTGTTAGATTTCCTTCATATTGCCATTTGTACTTCCTACATTTGTGATCCTAGAAACATGGAAGCAATATTTCTTACTAGTTTTAGCCCTACTAGCCTTAGCAGTGATACAGCCTTACCTACAGGGAAGAGCTCTTTGAATATTTCTTTCCAGACTAAAATGTCTGTTGCTTTAGTGCAAATGTTCTGCAACACATTTAATCTGATTCAGAGATTGAGAGCTCTCAAAAATATAAAAACAATCATGTCTTTTTTTTGTATTTGTCCAATTTTTAACATTTTTCTTATAACAGCAATACATTTTGTTGTTTTTTAATATGAAATATTAACAAAATTGTTTACCTCCTTCTGTTATAGATTCAAAAGATGAAAATATCACTGTTTCACTTTCCAAAAATACTGTGTCTGGAAATGAGTCTGATCTTCGAGAATGGTGGGTCCTAAACCAGACTCGCAAACATTTAGATAAAAATAAGACAAGCCTGGAACTTGTTGTGTTCAGTGACAAAGTTAGTCCTCCTAGCCTCGGATTCTTGGCAGGTTATGGGTAAGTAATTGTCTTATGCTAATATCAGTGTATCCATTGCCTGCATTTAACACATTTAACAAAGCTTCTGGAATAGCACAGCATAGATTTTTAATAGTACTTCCCCTTACTGAGGCATACTAAGATTTCCAGATACTTGTGTTCTGGAAACTGTCCCACACAAGATTGGTAGTTGCTGCCAATGTTTAGGATGTTGTAAGCTAGACTCATAAAATGTGTTCACATTTATGATACTGGCACAATTCCCACAATTTATTTGTTTTTTGTCCTAGTTTGTTTTTGGTTTTTGGTGAGGACAGGATATGGTGGAAAATTTATTTATTTTAGTTATTTACGGCATTTGTAGTTTGCCTTTCTCAGCCTTATGGCAACTCAAGGCGGCTTACAGAAATTGGTGGAATTTGATGCCATGCATTCATAAAGTACAATTAAAAACATTCAACCTAATATTATAAAAACTATATAAACTGTTAAAAAAACTGTCAGTGGCAAGAATCCCAAGGCATTGCTTACTAAGGAGCAGGGGACACTATCCTAGGACTAAACCAGTGGTTCTCAACCTGGGTCCGTGGACACAGTCATCCCGAAGAACGAAAATATGGTCTGCGGCCTCACCATTACTACACCGTTGCTGCTAAACCAGGTAGCAACGAAACCCTCTCATAGTACCGAGGCAACGGGGAGGTTGGGAGGGAAGAGGCCCACTACCCACCAAGTTATCACTACCACATTAGCGCTACATTATTAAATATGGGTTTCTATGGGCTTCCAGATGGTGACCACTGGATGGCATATGTTCTGTATCAGAAACTAGAGCTGATGTGGTCTATCCAATGCGGTTTTCTGAATCAGCACTCCAAATAACCAAATTGAATCTAAAGTTGAACCAAAAACCAATTCGTAACCCTTTTGGTACTAATATTGAAGCGTGGCCCATGGTCAAATAAAGGTTGGAAACCACTGGACTAAACTATAGATTTTTCTGCAACAAAAATTAAATCTGTGGATTAGTGTCCCCATCCTAATGTTCAAGTGTTTTAATAAGCAAGTTGACTTTTGACAGATCTCTTCTCTTTTCACCTCAATGGATGTGTGACTTTTTCTGTTTTCCACTCCTTCATTTCATGTCTGTTTTTTTTATCGGTATGTGATGAATTCTTAGCATAGGGACCTGTTTGTTAATATAGAGACAGGAGAGGTTTGTTACTGAACATATTAATTTAATTATTAAGATTCTTCCTGTGACTCAATTTGCCTTTTATTATTACCTCATATTGTGTTTCTAAATGACAGTGTCCTTTTGCTTGTTTTGCAGCATCATGGGCTTATATGCTTCCGTTGTCCTGGTAATAGGGAAGTTTGTCCGTGAATTCTTCAGTGGGATTTCCCACTCCATAATGTTTGAAGAGCTTCCCAATGTGGATCGTATCCTGAAACTGTGTACTGATATTTTCTTGGTGCGGGAGACTGGTGAATTGGAACTGGAGGAGGACCTTTATGCCAAATTAATATTCCTGTATCGCTCACCAGAGACTATGATCAAGTGGACTAGAGAAAAGACAAATTGATCTCTTGGGAAGTCTTGCTGTAAATCAAGAAGCCGTTGGTTTGTTTTTAAAGCACAACATTTTCCTGAGAGTGAAGCCTTTTATGACTGGGTTGCAATGAATTTTTTGTTCATGGAGTCCACCTGACTACTTAGAAAGCTATGCTGCCTTTGGAGTCAAAGATGGAGAAAGATAGGCCTTGTTTCAAAATTCACGTCCAGTGACATTGGAGGATTTTGTTGCTGTTGTTTGATGAACAAAGAATCATGCATCCCTCTGACTAAGTTATTGCGTGGGCCCTAAACTCACCCTCTCAAGGGCAACAGAAGGATGCTACAACTGAAGTAAGCAGACCTTTATGTTTTAGGGGGGATTTTGGTCTTGGATAGTGCAATATGCTGCTTTATGCCACTGACTTTCAAGGGGCAGCGGTGCTCTGAGATACCGTCCCAAGAAATCCAAGGCAACGGGACACAGTGGGTGATGAAGGAAGTTGTGTATGTCCAAAAAACCCAGATTGTAGAAATTACTACAGATGAGCTTCTGGAAGTGAAAAACAAAACTCACTGACATTATCATTAATTGCCTTATTTTATTTGAACATTTACCGGAGACATTAAAAACATCAGTGACTTTACTCAGGAAAATAAAAACAGTCAAAATTCAACGAATGGATAATGATCATGGTGAAACATTGTCAAACCATTTTCGCCAAATGTTTCCTCGTTGGACAGATGTAAGACCATTGAACTTTACAAAAAGCCTTTGAGGGCAGCCTTTTTTCTCTGCTCCCTACATGCTTTCCCCCATTTTGAACTTTTAATCTAATGATCTGACTTGTATCTCGTATTTCCCTCCAGTGTTTCAGGTATACAATAATGTTTACATATGAAAATTCACATTTTTATGTCCGAAATGGGTTTTTAAAGTTCCTGGTAATGAGAAAAAAATATATAATGAGCTTGAAAACGTGAGCTTTTCTTAAATTATTGCTATTGCTGACACAGGCTCTTCAGTAGAGGGTACTGTAGCATGAACATTTAGTGTTGCAATGTAGTTTTCATTCCATGGTTTAGAAAATGCAGTTTCTCCAAACAATATTGAGTGGTAAGATATGCAAGGGGGCTGTACTGAGTAGTTCTGTTTCCATAATGACTTCCAATGAAGCACATGTTGCAAACCCTTTTCTTATGCTTGTTTACACTGAATGGAAAAGTCTTTGTATAAATTATGTCTGAGTTGTGAATCTCTCAGTAACCATTTTTAAAAATCATCTTAGTATTTATTGTGTATGATAATGTAATAAGTCACTTAAAAGGAAGCTGTAGATGGGAACTGAAAATAGAAGGTAACAGTCTAATTATTTCTGAATTTTTTTCTGTCATCTGGTCACTGGAAGAATATAATAAGATTGTGACATCACTCACACTGTTCATCTATTTCCATTAAAACATTGCTGGTACAGTAGAGTCTCGCTTATCCAACATAAAAGGGCCAGCAGAACGTTGGATAAGCAAAAATGTTGGATAATAAGGAGGGATTAAGGAAAAGTCTATTAAACATTACATTACGTTATAATTTTACAAATTAAGCACCAAAACATCATTTTTTACAACAAATCGATGGAAAAAACAGTTCAACGGTAACGTTATGTAGTAATTACTGTATTTACAAATGTAGCGAGCATCAAAACATCGCAATATATTGAAACAGCTGTGGATCCAGGCGGGAGGCAGACTGTGTTGGATAATACAGAACGCTGGATAAGTGAGACTCTACTGTATCTTTCTATGCTATGTCAGAACATTTTGACATAAGGAGGTCTGAACCAACATAAACCATCTGGGAGCATATTCTACAAATACAAACCTTTTGAGTGGAAGTCATTCAAATATATGTTATACCTCACACAAAATAATAACACCCCAAGGCATTGTTCTCCTATAAAGAAGGAGGGGCTTATTAACAAAAGAATGACTCCTTTTATGAAAAGGTTGTCTTTTTAGTCAATATGAAAAGAGAAAGCCCTATGGTACCTTAAGAACTAGTAAATATGTTAGTTGATGCATGAAGTATTCACATGTCTACAATACGTAACTGTATACAAGATGAAAACTCAGCTTGTAGTTATTGAAATCTAACAGTCCTACAACTACCCATGCCACCCTTTATAATGGATCTGACAAAGTAGGCTGTGCTCTATGAATATTTCTGCCAGTAAACCAAGAATACATTATTAATGGTTACCCTACAACCTAACTTAGATTGAGAATCTCCATTCTACTAACACAAGGGTTCTGCTCACAGAAAGTGAACTTCCAAATGATGTCATCATAAGTCCCCCATTCAATGAGATCCCTTTCCAAACATGTCCAGGGGCCTGGAGAAGCTGCCATGGGAAGGAGAGGCAATGAAGTCTGAGTCTATGAACCCATTTGTACACACATAAATCTGAACCCAAATGTCTAGTTCTGCTACTAGGTAGTAACATGGCTCCTCCTCTCAGATTTTAATCACTTTACTAAGAAATTTGAGCTGGGTGTAGAAGAGTCCTCCTTCCAGTCAGTCCAGTGTCCTCTTTCCCTGTAACGGCTCACCAGGTAGTTCTTGGAAGGTCACATGCACAGCATGCAGGCAACCATTCACAATTTTTGTTTTTCATCAGCAACTGTACTCAAGAAGTATATGAGCTCTGAACCTGGAAGTTCAGGTTAGCTACCATGTTGAAGATGCTAATGGACTTCCCATCCATTCCTTTATCTAAATCTCCCTATAAAAACAAGTAGAATCCATAAGATAATTTGTGCTTCATCGGTGATTAATACTGTCAGTCATTATGATCCAACATTCAAATAGTAAGAAATAGCAAGACAAGTTCCCCTCTCTGTTCACATCATGCTTGATTTTATAAATCTTTCAAATCATCCCTACTCAGGGTTTTTGCATGTTTTTCAGCTAAACTGCCTCAGCTTTTAGTTGAGGTACTCTAATCCCCATATCATCTTGATGATCAGTGTTCTTGTATTACAATTGATAGATAGTAATACTTTATCCAAATAACAAGATTACAGTGGAAGTTAATCTAGCTCTCTCTAGCACTTAGTTATTACTCACCCCCTTATTAAATGCACTTAACCTCTTTTTTCTGTCAAGAATTGTCATGGTAAAGGAATGCTCTCCACTGAAATGATAAGGAATTGAGATATGTTTTGCTCCTCATATCTAATCTATTGGAATTTTTTAAAATAAAAAAACCCCTTTGTGCATGTCCCATCTCTTAACGGCACTCTTAAGTGTGAGATCCATAAATCTTTCCGTCTTCCCAAATTGCACTTCCTTTTCATAGTTAATCTCTACAGGACTCCAGCTAGCATGGTCAAACGACACACAGCCACCGAGATGGATTAAAATCTAAATACTGAATTGTGCTTCTTATTATCTCTCTTGTACATGCATGTTATTTATAAAACATATCTTTTCTCTCCAAACAATTAATTGTATGAGGTTTTCTTTTTAACAAACAACACTGTGATGCAATTCACTCTGGAATGGGTCTTGAATAGTGGTGGGATTGCATCCTGGAACATGTGAGTAAAATGTTATGTGCAGGATGCCTTTTTCTCTTGCTACAGATGAATAACCAGAGCCGCTCCCATCATATTTAGGATGAAGCTATAGTAGCACAAAGCAGAAGGCATGGTATTCAGGTGGCAGAGCCCTGTTGACTATAGACAATAATCAATCTCTAAGAATAGAAGAGCTCAGCAGCAGCTTGGAGAATGACAAACACAAGAATGGTCTAGTGCAGGGATGTGAATTATCTGGCCCTCCTGCTGTCATAGAGCTACAAATGCCAGCAACTCCGGCCTGCATAATCACAGTGGGAGGTTTAGGGGGATCCAGTAAAAATATCCTGAGGGGAGCATGAGTCTCATCCTTGGCTCAGTGTCTCTCTATGGCCAATTTAAACTCCGTATACATCTGCAAGTTTAACTGGGTGTCAATAAAGAAAGATGATGTTTCTATCCATTCTATATGTTCCATACCACGATTCTTCTGCTGGAAGTTAAACTTTCACTCCGATATGCCTAGAGCAATGTTTCTCAACCTGGGGGTCGGGACCCCGGGGGGGGTTGCAAGGGGGTGTCAGAGGGGTCACCAAAGACCATCAGAAAACACAGTGTTTTCTGTGGTCATGGGGATTCTGTGTGGGAAATTTGGCCCAATTCTATAGGTAGGATTCAGAATGCTCTTTGATCATAGGTGAACTATAAATCCCAGCAAATACAACTCCCAAATGTCAAATCTCTTTTCCCCAAACTCCACCAGTGTTCACATTTGGGCATATTGAGTATTCTTGCCAAGTTTGGTCTAAATCCATCAGTGCTCTCTGCATGTAGGAGAACTACAACTCCAAAACTCAAAGTCAATGCCCACCAAACCCTTCCAGTATTTTCTGTTGGTCATGATTCTGTCTGCCAATTCCATCACTGGTGAAGTTCAGAATGCTCTTTGATTTAACTATAAATCCCAGCAACGACAACTCCCAAATGACAAAATCAATCCCCCTCACAACTCCACCAATATTCAAATTTGGGCATATTGGGTATTTGTGCCAAATATGATCTAGTGAATGAAAATACATCCAGCAGATACATCAGCAGATATATCCATCAGATACTTACATTACAATTCATAACAGTGGCAAAATTACAGTTGTGAAGTAGCAACAAAAATAATTTTATGGTTGGGGGTCATCACAACATGAGGAACAGTATTAAGGGGTCATCGCATTAGAAAGGTTGAGACCCACTGGCCTAGAGGCTGGGAAAATTATCTTTTTGATGGTTCCAAAATCTTCCAGCCACCATGCCTATGCTAAGGGATTGAGGGCATTACTGTCCAAAAAGGTAACCTTTCCAAGTTCTGGCCATAACTTTTGCTCTCCATCATTCAACACATCTACACAACTGTTATATACTTGCTATATAATACACTACTGGAGCTAACTATATGAGAGACCGAAGCACATCACACTTTGCCTGGCATTTCACTTTTGCTTTTTATTGACCATCCTAATATCAAGTTTATTCCCATGTAAATAAAACTGTAAATATCTGTACAAACTACAAATATACTATGTAAGACAAGCTAGGATTTGGTGCTTGATTTTGTTACCTGAAAGGGCAGTGTGAAAAACCATTGGCAATGTGACTGGCAAAAAAATGAATTAAAAATTAAAAAAACATTAAGGTACTAATAGCCTTTGTATAATGCAATTATGAGGTGAAAAGGTCTTTTTCCTGATTAAAGTTTCTTTTAACAATAACACTTTTCTGTTCCGCTTCTTCTGCCACAGGTGCCACTACCGCAACAAAAACAGTCTCCTGATGTTCTGGATTTAATCCTAGTGCTGTTGTTAGTTCTCCACTGACAGTGTTAATGCTCTCCTTAGAATGTGCATCAAAGAAAAGGATGTGATTTCGCATCACTATCTGTGTTTTAAGAGTAGCAAATGCACCTTCAACCAAAAAGAGGCATATACAGGCATACAGTTGGCTTAAGTTTGTTCATGACCATAACAAAATGGCACTCCCCATTTGTTAAAGTTCACTTGGCATTGGGGACCTAATTCATATCTAACATAAAATTTCAAGTTAGACAGGGGAGGTAATAAAGTGATTTCTGAGGC